ACAAATTATTCATTTTTTTTCATAATAATTAAGGAATTTTATTTCCTCTGAGTCAGTGTTTCTTTTTCATGCTCATATTATACAATTATGGACTTTTGTGCTGGTGAATATGATGTGATATGAACCTGAAAGAGTGATATTGACTGAGGCGAAGCCGAGGTCAATATTACTCTTTCAGGTTCATATCACATCATATTTACCAGCATAAAAGCCCATAACTGTTTTATTATATGCTTCAACAATAAAATAAAACTAAACAAAAGGTTCTGATTTTTGTGCGCAAGCCTCCGTGTAAAATTTAGCCAGGTTTGAATACAACAGTTCATCATTGTAGCTTTCGAAGGCATCGTCTAGGTTCTTTTTCTTAAGGTAAGCATGGAGGATATGCACTGTGTGTTCAATGTCTTTTTTACGCTAACAGCACCTTTATCCTCGAATAGTTTTGGTAATTTTCCTAACGGAGGAGAAACGTTCGCCAGCAGCCATCTTCTAATGCCGTCAAAATACTTAGTAGAAAATACTAATTACCGCGGACGTACATTTTTTAAAAGTGATGCGCCCAAATGCGGGAAATAGATAGTGCTACCATGTCGTCTAGCGATAGTGACTAGCCTAGGCCCGGTGGAAGTTGAATGTGCAGTTATTGAAATTGCTGTTTGTAAGCAAACCAGAGGTTTGTACGGATGACATGTACACTGTATGATGTGTATAAATCGTTTGTCGAGCGAGTGACTGTTGATGTAACATTTGGGAGACGAGAAATTTGACCTACATTTCTAGGAACGATAGCCATCGTTTCTGTGCTGACACTCATAGATGAGAGAGTGGAGCTGGTGGAGCGTTTTTGTATCGACGAACAATCACGGCTATAGCTTCTGACACTAGCTTCATTTTTATGACCGGTCATGAACATGATCTGTCTTGTCTCGAACCCGACATCATTTGGTGTTCGATCTGCAAATGTATCAACTGCTTATAAAGAGGGTCAAAAATTTCATCCAGAAAACTACAGACCCATATCTCTGACCTGTATCTGTAGCAAAATTATGGAACACATTGTGGTCTCAACTATCATGACCCATGCCGATACCCATAACATATTGTATCCGTTTCAACATGGTTTTTACGCAAATCGCGATCATGCGAAACCCAACTTCTTGAATTTGTGGATGACATCTCAAAGAATCTTGATGAGGGACGCCAAACAGATATCCTCATAATGGACTTTGCTAAGGCTTTCGACAAAGTCAGTCATTCTCTCCTAAACCATAAACTAAAACGTTATGGTATACGTGGAAATGTCGCAAACTGGATCGAGAGTTTCCTGACCGGTTGAACTCAGACAGTAGTAGTTGAAGGGGAGAAGTCTGATTTTGTCGATGTCCATTCCGGGGCACCCCAGGGGTCAGTTTTGGGACCCAGTTTATTTCTTTACTTTTTAAACGATATCCATGTGGGTCTAAATGCTCCAATCCGTTTATTTGCAGAGAACGCTATTACATATCTTGCTATCAAGTCAAACAGTGATGCTGAAACACTTCAAACAGATCATGACAAACTAGCGCTCTGGGAAAATACATGGAAAATGATATTCCACCCAAACAAATGCAAAGTGTTGTCGGTGACTAAAAACAAAACTCCAATAGTCCATAATTATACTTTACATGGACACATACTGGAACATCTTAGTCAGGCCAAGTATCTGGGTGTAACACTATCATCTGACCTTAAATGGGATTCACATATAAATACTATCTGCCCAAAAGCAAATTCTACGCTAGGCTTTTTAAGACGAAATCTTAAAATTGGCTCAACATCAGCCAAAGTACAGGCATACAAATCATTAGTTCGACCATCACTTGAGTATGCCTGTACAGTATGGGACCCTCACACCCAAACAAAAATTGACAAATTGGAAATGGTCCAGCGAAGGGCAGCACGCTATGTGCTCAATAAACACAGGAACAACTATCGTACCTCCAGTGTGTCAGAAATGTTGGACCACCTAAAGCTGCACCCTCTAGTAGATAGACGTAGAGATGCTCGTCTGACCATGCTTTATAACATTGTAAACCAGAAAGTCGCTATCGTAAAATCAGACAGATTAATCCCTACAGTTAGAAAATCCTGAACAAACCACCAGTTTTCGTATCAAATTCCCCACTCAAAAACCCAGACCAGAAAGGCATCATTCTTCCCTCGAACTATACCCGAGTGGAATAAACTCCCACCTGACATTATTTCAAGCCCCACAACGGAATTATTCAAATCAGCCCTCTACCGTCACTTTTCAAACGCAAATTAGACCATCTCGTATCTTTTAAAAACAATCTCTTTCCATGTTTCACTCCTCGTCTGACATTTTATCTTCAAATTGTTGAAGTTGGTCAGTACCATTTAGAAGTAGAAGTCTAAATACTAGCGTTTGCTTGTAAACCTTGACATGGAGTTTGCAGAAAGAAGTCTGCCAATATTTACATATATTCATACGCGGTGAGAACTGGATCACGTTCTATACTCAAGTTATTGAGAAATAAACAGATTTGCCTACTCTTACGTTATCGATTCAGAAACAGTGGCAATTATAAATATTACGTATTAACCCATGTAATATGACCTATCAGCCCTGAGATTGGTTGTAAGTGTCAATTGTTTCAATTCTGACGTCACGCCTAGGACATTAACATGACGTCACAGACTTGCGCACTGGAGTCAAAATGGCGTCTTTTTACATTTCAAGGTTGCATGAAAATTGTCGTTTTACAAGAATAAATGCTGCGGCCTCGGGAAACAGTTCATCTGGTGGGTCCCAATTGCAACTCCTCGGGAAAATAGTTTTGACTGTTGACTGATAAGGCATGCAACAACTGTAAATTGTAATTTGTACCCTTTGTTGGTGAACATAGCCACAGAGTGTAACAGTACAGGTCGACGTACTGTTACAGAGCAACTGATACCAAGACACAGGTTTTACCGATACTTCAGGGTTTACCGAAACTTCAGGGTTAACCGAGACTTCAGGGTTTACCGAGACTTCAGGGTTTACCGAGACTTCAGGGTTAACCGAGACTTCAGGGTTTACCGATACTTCAGGGTTAACCGAGACTTCAGGGTTTACCGAAACTTCAGGGTTAACCGAGACTTCAGGGTTAACCGAGACTTCAGGGTTAACCGAGACTTCAGGGTTAACCGAGACTTCAGGGTTTACCGATACTTCAGGGTTAACCGAGACTTCAGGGTTTACCGAAACTTCAGGGTTAACCGAGACTTCAGGGTTAACCGAGACTTCAGGGTTAACCGAGACTTCAGGGTTAACCGAGACTTCAGGGTTAACCGAGACTTCAGGGTTAACCGAGACTTCAGGGTTAACCGAGACTTCAGGGTTTACCGAGACTTCAGGGTTTACCGAGACTTCAGGGTTTACCGAGACTTCAGGGTTAACCGATACTTCAGGGTTAACCGAGACTTCAGAGTTAACCGATACTTCAGGGTTAACCGATACTTCAGGGTTTACCGATACTTCAGGGTTAACTGATACTTCAGGGTTAACCGAGACTTCAGGGTTAACCGAGACTTCAGGGCTTACCGATACTTCAGGGTTTACCGAGACTTCAGGGTTTACCGAGACTTCAGAGTTAACCGATACTTCAGGGTTAACCGAGACTTCAGGGTTTACCGATACTTCAGGGTTAACCGATACTTCAGGGTTTACCGATACTTCAGGGTTAACCGAGACTTCAGGGTTAACCGAGACTTCAGGGTTAACCGAGACTTCAGGGTTTACTGAGACTTCAGGGTTTACCGAGACTTCAGGGTTTACCGAGACTTCAGGGTTAACCGAGACTTCAGGGTTAACCGAGACTTCAGGGTTTACCGAGACTTCAGGGTTTACCGAGACTTCAGGGTTTACCGAGACTTCAGGGTTAACCGAGACTTCAGGGTTAACCGAGACTTCAGGGTTAACCGAGACTTCAGGGTTTACCGAGACTTCAGGGTTTACCGAGACTTCAGGGTTTACCGAGACTTCAGGGTTAACCGATACTTCAGGGTTAACCGAGACTTCAGAGTTAACCGATACTTCAGGGTTAACCGATACTTCAGGGTTTACCGATACTTCAGGGTTAACTGATACTTCAGGGTTAACCGAGACTTCAGGGTTAACCGAGACTTCAGGGCTTACCGATACTTCAGGGTTTACCGAGACTTCAGGGTTTACCGAGACTTCAGAGTTAACCGAGACTTCAGGGTTAACCGAGACTTCAGGGTTTACCGATACTTCAGGGTTAACCGATACTTCAGGGTTTACCGAGACTTCAGGGTTTACCGAGACTTCAGGGTTAACCGAGACTTCAGGGTTAACCGAGACTTCAGGGTTTACCGATACTTCAGGGTTAACCGATACTTCAGGGTTTACCGAGACTTCAGGGTTTACCGAGACTTCAGGGTTAACCGAGACTTCAGGGTTAACCGAGACTTCAGGGTTTACCGATACTTCAGGGTTAACCGATACTTCAGGGTTTACCGATACTTCAGGGTTAACCGAGACTTCAGGGTTAACCGAGACTTCAGGGTTAACCGAGACTTCAGGGTTTACCGAGACTTCAGGGTTTACCGAGACTTCAGGGTTTACCCAGACATAGGTTCCATAGTATCTGGGGTGACCCGGTGAAAAGGTGTGTCGCGGTAAAGGGTGATTTACTGCTGGCTCATGACGACGGGTATATTGTGATCTGTTGTTTAGGTTGGTATCTTTTCTTTATTAGTGTTATTGTAATAAATAAAAATGGTCTACCGAGACTAGTTTAAGTATAAGTTATTTGAGTAAGACGACTAGTGTTATTGTCGGCATCATTTCTTATTTCAGTAACTGGTAATAAAGTGTAGACACGCATCCGTTATAATTTTTGATATATTGGGGTCTTAATATTGGGTTGTTCCCTAATGATGTCACTATTTTGTGTCGCTCTGTTACTGATTTTCAACCTTCATTCTAATTTCAGATGTCAATGCATTCAAAGCACCATCTAGTTTACAGGCAAACGTAATCTCGTCGCACGAGATCTTCGTCACGTGGGATGAACACAAGCGCCAACGTGATAAAAACGATACATTCTACACTCTACGACACCGGCCCAGGAATGGCGGACAGACACCGTATGAATACGCACGCGTGGTCAAGCCGGAATATCTATTTACCAGCGCCGAGCCAAACACTACATACGCCTTCGCCGTGAAGTTTACTAAAGGCAAGAAGCGGAGTCGATGGTCATTTACTGTCAAAAACACTACCTCACTTTACGATGGTAAGTTACCGTCAAAAACACTACCCATCTTACCGATGGTAAGTTATTATAAAAAACACTACCCCACTTACCGGTAAGTGACGACCATTGGCAGATTTACACGTTACACATTGGACTTGTGCTAATCTAACTTCTCTCATTAAAACTTTCTTAACCCCTGAAGACTCGAGAAAAGAATTGGCCTGCTGTATCCAACTGCCTGATAGCATAAAACGCGACTAATGCGGGGCCTTCATGCAGAATCGGGGGTTTCATCTGTGTCTTCTGCTTAGGGAACATTGGAGGAACCAGAATTAAGCTGCTGTCCCCATTTGAACACTTGGGATCTATGTCATTTTGTCACTTTGCTACACTTATTTTCGGTGGTGTCACTCACCTTCAATGATCTCAGCAGTTTCTCTCATATTCCCATAGCCTGTTATTTGGGACAATTTAGGGTAGACTTCATTGTCGAAAACCGGTTATGACGTCAAATCGAGCTTTATGTTCTATTTTTAAATAGATATTGATTATAAAAAAAAATCTTCTCGAAAATGTACCTCAATGGATAGTCTTTGTCAAAAAAACAAGAAACATTCATATCTGTGATGTAGAATTATAACTATCAGAGGAAAAAACCCTGTGAAAGTCGTACTAAGTTCGGTTGCATCTCAAATATGCACCGTAATAAACTTATTATATGTTTAAATGATTTTACTCAAAACCGATGCAAGTAGGATTTGTTGAATAATTCCATGTAGATCTGAAAGTGTACAAGATCATCACTAAAATGTGAATCTATTGTGGACATTCACAAAAACAATATACAGAAAAGAAATTAGTTATTGTGTAATATTTCAGACTCTTTGGTCCCGAGCAGTCAGGGTGATGATGCTGTGTTCCCGGGGCCCTGGGGAGAGTGGAGCACGTGGTCGGAGTGCTCCGTCTCATGTGGGTCTGGGACAACGGTGCGGACGCGGTCCCGACTTTACGAAAATGGCACGACTTTCAACACCACTTCCTCATCAGACGTATGTCTCGCCGACTCGTGTCCATGTGAGTTGTCTCCCCCTCTCTACAAGAAATTAGAAAATGAAAAACTTAACAATAAAAAAGAGTTTAAATTCATGATTTATCTTTTTCGGGACATGATTGGGTGGATGGTGAGGGGCCGTAAGATAGGTGGGGTAGTTCTCATACATATTGTATGTGAAAGGGTTGTCAATCAAGTCAAAAGTTCAAAAAAATATGGATTAGTGCTGGTTGGACTTTGCAATCGTCACGCATCACGAAAAATCAATGAAATAAAACAAAATTGTTCATATGCCCATTGATATTTCACTATATCTTAACAATTGCTCTCCAATGTCACTATGTTAAAGAAGGAAATGGCATCTCGGAACATAAATCTGTAACTAGTTTGAATTTAAAAATGCAGTTTGAAATGCTATTAATTCTTATTACAACAATGAATGACGTTTTTAATTTTGATTGCATAAGGTAATAGCACGTCAATAATCAACGATAGTTTAAATAATCAAATGTCGTTACATTGCTTTGATACAGAACAAAATTATGTGTTACAGTAATACCAGACGAGAGCAATATACCCAAACCAAGGACGTTACAAGTAAAATCGCTGACGTCATCAATAGTCAAGGTAAAATGGCGTCGTCCTAAAATTAAGAAATCGGACATTAGTGTTTACCGCGTTTTATGGACGAACGTACGCCAAGGTCAAGAACGGACAGTAAACATCAGTAAGCGGTTTTACATCATAGACGCTCTCCGTCCGAACTCTACGTACACCGTCCGTGTACAGACGATCGGCACGAACGGACGGACGTCCGAATTTTCCAAAGTGAATTTCACGACTGAGTCCGAACTTGTGAACCATTCTCCCAGCAACATCACGGCCAAGGCTATCGGAACCACGGTACGTATCTCCTTATATCACATTTAGAGTTGGAATGAGGACACGCGGCAGTGACGTCATATTCAATGGTGGAGCAACAGAACATGCTGGAATTTTCCACGCACTGTTAACCTGAATGCTTATGCCACGATATACCGTCTGTAAATTTCTTATCTGCATATGAAACACGGATGGCGATTTTTAATGATGTTAATAACACTGAGTGACCCGGTCACGTCATAAAATTATTAATTAATGACGTCACGAACAATTGCATGATCCGAAATGTCAGTGAAATTTTACCTCCCTTTGAATATTCCTGACGTCACCAGCCCGGAAACGCTGAAAATATCTAAGAATTGTAGTTTATTTCGGTTATTTTAGCTGTTATGCATACGAATTGGGATAATCCTACTGTATTTCGAGACTTGCTGCGGTATATCACGATTATATTGTCGTAAACATCCGTTTTACTACCGCCAGTTAAACTCAATTTGCGACAGTATAATCACGATACACCGCCGCAGGCACACCAACATACCAACATACCCTGTCTCCTGCATACACACAGCACGTATACACTACACACATGGAGGCACGTCCTTCAATGACCTTAGCTGTTAATAGGACGTTAAACAAAATCAAACCAAACCAAAAATCTCAAAATTCATTAGCATTATTCCCTTAATAATTGTTTATTGTAGCCAAAGGTTGTAAATTTTACTTTATAAAGTGTCTCAAAGACACATTTCCTATTTCCAACACATGTTTAGAACCGCTTGGGTTTGCGTTCTTGGACCTTTAGTACAATTGAGTCATGGGTGTAGTAAATTGTTGGCTTTGTTTGACTTTCTGTATTAATTCACTGTTGTTATCTAACATCTCTAGATAACGGTACATCGGCTACACATCATTACCTGCAGGCTTGAGGGAACTAAAATACCCTACGGAGCTATTGTGTGGAAGTAAAACAGACTGCTAATCGGATGGCTTTATCTTCCATATCACGCCAACTGTAGTGACAAACGGTCATAACAGTCTGCTCTCCAGCTTACATCAGACACTTACCACAATGCCTACCAACAAAACATCCTAATTACGCGAATGGTTTTGATAGAAATCACATCAGTTAAATCAGACATAGGATAATCACATGCAATATAAAGTAATGGAAACTATATATACAGATTTACTTGTCGATGTAGAAAGCCAAGCAAAGTTAAAACTTTATTGCATCAAATGATCTGTTTGTCCATTTTGGATTTAGCATTTGTACTTAATGTCAATTAAATGTCCATGTCTGAAGTATTCGGAACATGTGTAGTAATGCAGTGTAGATGCTTATCGAAGTCTTATGAAAAATCACAAGTCTTGGCTACCACAGATATTTTACTTTTAAACAAGTACTGCCAAATACAAGGTCAAGGTCAAGGTCGATCTCGTGGACTGGAATTATTGGAAACTTGAGATAAACATCTTTCTAGCAATTATTTATAGGAAACCAAAGCAAACCCTGTTTTCCTCAATAGACAATTAACACTCCTAATGTGGAACTATGATTAACAAACATTTTCCCCCAAGATGTATTTATTTGTAGAGTACAAACCGCAGGGTTCTTCTTTTACCATAATGCATACTGATAGATCCAGATATGGGAGGAAGGTCGAAGCCGCTTGTATTGTTGCTGACACAGAATTTCACCTTGTCGGCCTGTTGGTGGCGAATCTATTGGTTACTGTGTAATATCAGCAATAAGACTGACCGCTTGTGATGTTGAAAAATAAATAACCAGACTAGAAAAGAAATTATCATGTTAGAAAATCAAGAATCAGATTACCTGTAATCAAAGAACAGAAATCTCGCAAGGTCGTGACAGTAAATATCAACCTTACGATAAGATATAGTTAAAGACCCTAATCAAACCATCGCCACTTGTACTTTTTAAGTTTCCGTTTGTCTTTTACCTTTCCGTTTGTTTAGTGTCTTTTCCTTTAACATGTTCAATTTACATTGTATTAGCCCTAATACCCTCTTTCGTGTCCATGGGCTGTTAGGATTCCAATAACTAACTTACTCTCATGAAACATCAGTATTAAGAACTGTTGATGATTGCGTTCCGTTAGATTATCATTCCTAGTATTACATGTACCGACTGTTTGTGAAACCTCGTTTTGAGAAATACAGCTATGATGGCAGTCCTCAGTGTAGACCATGCTTGCTATTGTCTGTAAGAACCCGAACCTATCTGTAAGAACTCAAATGTATCAACAAGAACTATAATGTAGAGATATTAAACTTTAACTTAACAGTCTCAAGTGATTCACGGCGAATTTAACATGGTCTATAATAAGAATTTAACATATATATTATAATAATGCATTAAAGGCTGACCCTTCGTAAAAATTCTTGAAATATATAAACATTGCAATCTCCTTTGTAATCAAACTGAACGCTACGAAGTTAATCCCATCTACAGTCCTTTGAAATACTGTGATTATGCACAACTTAATTTCTCTATTATTGGCATTTGAGAGGCTTATCGTCCATATATCAAAATGTCTATTCGAACCACAAACATCACAATTAAATGCTCTGGTTCCGTATTTTTACAGTTTATAAAGGTGAAACCGAGGGCTTTGTGACCTAGATACATAAATATTTATTATGTAAGATTTTCTTTCTTAAATTAACATTCAGTGTTGTGATAAACAAGTTTGACAAGTTATTAACACTATGGTATTTTTATTTGAATTGCTCATGCCAAGCTCATTTATATCAATTATGAATGTGATGAAATGACTCATTATCTAAAACATGTTTTTTAATCTAGGTTACATGACTCTTGGAATTAAGATTAACATACTGTTAAATATGTTACCGGGACTTTTATAATGGATTTAACATGCATCAGCCATCTTTATTCGATGCTGTTATACCTTCATATTGTATAGCAAGCAAATCTGCAACAAGATCTGCATAAACGAAATATAGTGGCATTTTGTAGGATTCAGTTTAGTTAGAAGGGCTCACACAACTAAATCTACTAATATATATATATTTTTCTAAAGTTCAATATCTGTAGATTTCATTCAATGTAAAATATGTCAACAATTACTTATTTAAAATACTCGTATGAACCCGGACTGTATTTAGATAGGGGTTACAATCGTAGGAAACACTTGCTGATTGGCTGATTTAGTTGTGCGAGTCCTCGAGACTGATTGGCATGTTAAAATGTCAATTTACTATTTGTATAAAGACATCAACAGTAACGCTTATTTTAGACTAAACTAAAATTGCTATGTATTATTTTAATAAGTTTCGTATCTCGTGCAATTACATACCTCAATACTGATGTTTAGGTAGGGCTTACAATCTAACTAATCAATCGATTGATACTTACAGTGGCTCACGAACTCCGCGGTAGGGAAGCGGATGTAAAACCGCCACTCATTGTCATCTCTATGATAATCATGTTTCAGACACAGATCGTTGCAGATGTGGGCAGGTGGAAACTCCCCATTATTCGATGCAATGTACGGTCTTCAACCAAGCTAGAATGAAAACTATAGGAACTTAAAATATTAATTTTTGGTGACCCAAATCTGTGTCTAGATGATAGCATACTTGTTAGATAAGGTATAGAGGTACATGTTAGAGTCGGGTAGATTATAGGTGCCAGTTTGGATCTGTTCATGCTCTCTCCGTTACTGTTTCCTTTCTTTTATCATACGTACCTTTGATTTTGTTAGTCTATCACATACAATGGTCAGTGTTATCACACACTGTTAACTCAAACAATTGATGTGTATTAACTAACTGTATGTTGAAGTGCTTCTCTCACGTAATTACATTTCGAGGGAGATGGCTTTATATAAGATGTAAAGTTTTGTTGCCAGATCCTATTCCCCTATCAAAATATTTATATATGTATATATATCTCTACTTGAAGCAGTATATGTATATACATATTTATGAAAAAATGGCTGGGGGAATAAAATATTTGTTAAAAAAAAATAAAAAAAATCCTATTCCTATTTATTTGTGTAATTGTTATGTATGACGAATTAAATAAAATTATTATTTAAACCAAACCACCACTCAAACAAACAAACTTCTGGTCAAGTAATAACGGTTATGTTGTCAGTATATGTGGTCCGTGTATCATCCTAGATATCCAGGGGTTACGCTCTCTGTACCCCTGGAATATCTCATAGCAAAATTGAAGGCTCGGTGTGCGCCACCTTGAGATGAGACAAGAAGACTAGTTCGATCCTTTGGTGAACATCAAAATAATCTCGCAGTCACGTAACGGTAAACATTGACAGGCTTTGAAGTCGGGCGTCTCTCCTTTGTAATCTTCAAAGGACATGTATCAGCCTAGCGATTGGTCAGGTTTTTTTTGCCTGAGACCAATTAAACAGCTATCTTCTTGCCTTCAATTTTGCTATGACATATTCCAGGGGTGTAGAGAGCGAAGATGAGCGTAACCCCTGGCTATCGAGGATGTCCGTGTATTTACTCTCGAATTATTATACATTTACTTGTATTAAAGAGTTATATGTAGTTCACGATCCTAATTCCCTTGGTTCCTTACCTCCCAAGTTTCCGTTTTATACTTTGTATTTATTTGAGTTTTTCCTTGTGTATTGACGAGGTATTCAATGCATTTTTGTGAAAGCTAATGTTTCAAATTGTTACACCTCAAGTGAATTTCTAGCTATTTGATTGGTTGGGAGAAAATTAAACAAAAGTCTCTGTCACCCTCCGAAAATACATTGGTTTTAAGGCGCCGGTGCGATAGCGATTGTAAACAGCAGACTATCAACAAACAAGATGTCATTATCGAGGTTTGCTGCCGTTTCTGAGCTACATTGGCTTTTGGTGTAACAAAATAGATATTACATTCATTAGCAGGGGACAGGGAATATTGTCAACCCTCAAAAACCCATTGTCACCCTCGGCTTCGCCTCGGGTGACAATGGTTTTCTCGGGTTGACAATATTCTCTGTCACCTGCTAATGAATGTAATATTTATATACTGTTGTTGGTTTTGGAAATTTCACAGATTAGTTTCCTTTTCTTTGCAGAAGATTCTTGTTAAATGGCTGCCGCCGGTAGATGGCCGAGATCACGTGACTGGGTACAAGCTTCAATATCGACGAAAGGGGCTCCGGAGGGGGGATATGTGTTCTGTGTTCACGGAGGGAGACCGGCTCAGATACGTCATAACGGGTAAGTCTTCGTTTCACAATTTCTTGCATAATCACTAGACATACAGATGATCATAATAGCACCTTTGAAATTTGCTAACATGTACAGTATGCCAAAAATAACTTCTGGTGGTGTGTAAACAGTAACGTCATTTTGGAAATCACGTTGAATTACACTGCAACATACAGCTGTTTCATCCTTCTAGGACCCATCAGTGATAGGTTATACTGTATAACATGAAATGTTCGTGGGTACTTTCCTTCGTGGTCTGAAGCCATTTAGATAGTTTCGTGGTACAAACTTTCGTGGATATCCTATATTTACAAACAGTAGACAAATTCGTTTTATTTTTTACGTGGTTCAATAGCAACCACGAAAACCACGAATGTTTATACACAACGAACATTTCATGTTATACGGTACTAGTTGTCACAATGATCTGAAATGCTGTTGAAACTGAGGGACAGGGGAAATAAACCCGTTAATTTATCAATTCAAAATTTAGAGAAGTATTGGTTTACTGTAGATTAAAACATGATTAAAGTTTGTATATTATGGACCGTGCCAAGGCGTCTGCCGTCTGGATCACTAGCCCTCCACCAAATGGTCGCGGGAAGGTACTGGCCGCAGGTCGGTGGTTTTTCTCCGGGACATCCGGCTTTCCTCCACCGTCAACACTAGGCTAAGTGACCAAAGCTATAAAAGAACGTAAATCACAAATAAACAAAATCATTCGTCTGATTATGTTAAAAAAAGAGAACTTTATAACCAAAGTGGTTTGAAGAATATGTAGAAAAAGAGCAAAACGGGAAGTACACATGTAGGTGTTAGGTCATTTAGGTAAAATAAGTATCGGCAGTAGCTCTGATTTCTCCTTCAAACATTACAAAGAGCTAAAGGAGAAGGTATGTAAGGCTCAGTGATGTAGAACGCACATATTTAACCCGTACCAACAAGTACAGATTTATTACAAAACGTGCCGTAAATGTACATTTGTTCCGGGTTGTATTGCGGATTGCATTTCCAGTTTTTATGCTTGTTATTGTATATCTGTGAAAGGGTTATGTTGTGAGTTACATTTCTAGCTCCTGTGTTACGTTTTGTTAACAGACCTTTTCAAAGATGAGACGTATAAGATAAGGGTTGGGGCTCGGATCAATGAGAAGACTGGCCCGTACACATCATGGATTATAGTAGACCTCAACAATTACAAACGCAACCAGAAGGGAACTGCAGACCCAGCGGCAAGTGCAAACACATCACTCCCGGAACCTGGTAAATATTTCATCGATTATATATAGCAGTCTCAAAGAAGAGAATATCAGTCGTTTTACCACATGGAATGAGTTCTATTTAAAGTATTTTACTGCTGACAGCATGCACTAACATATAGGTCTTCAAATAATTCATTTGATACTCTCAAATCTTTAGTTGGTGCATCTGTATCAGGACATGTCGCTTCTCTCCCACCTTCTTCTTCCTGGTTCCCAAACGCTCATCAAACTCGACTTGTTTTTAAAATTGTTTTACCTATAACACAGTGATGTTTGTTAAAATGTCGTATTTATTACAAAGTCATGTTTTTACACATTCCTGACTATCAATCGATCTGCCGAGTGCAAACATTACTAGCATTCGATTTTGAGAATACATTTTTCGTTAACAGATGAAGATGTTGGGTTTGACTTTGAGGACTTCGTACCCCTGGTAGACTTCGCGTCGTTCATGCCCAGAATCACGCCGTTGGTCAATGCGGTCAACCTATCCTGGCCTGCACCAAACAATACCAGGGTTACCTACGAGTTCGTGGTCACACTCGGTACGTATCTTTAGATTCTCTACACATGCGTGTCATCTTTTGACTTTAAACATATTTTATTAACCAGAATTGGAAAATAGGATTTGGCACAAGTTATTACAACTTATGAAGCCATCTCCTTACAACAATAATTCAAAACAACAGATGGTGATATAGACTGTCAATTACAATTTATAGTAGTATGAAGCGATTTTTAAAGTAACACATACACATACAAACAAACAAAAACAAAAACATATTTTGAAGTCAGGTTCATAATCGAAACATGTTAAAATCTTCCACTGGATCTAATAAAAGTTTGCACTTGTCTGAATACATCACAATTTGTATCCAAAGCCAGATTTTCATTTCCAAACAGTGATAATCTCAACGTTAAATGTACATTTAAATGATTTATATGATCAAAAAGTACAGTACGAGCATTTTTGTAAGGTTGACATTCAAAGAAGTGTCATCTCCTTCGTCGGTACATAAAAACGGAAGTTAAGTATATGTAAAAAGAATCGGTTACTGTGCAATATCGTTAATAATGGTATTCGAGCGACTGATAGGTCATCATCTGTTGGTAGGGGGACATTGAAATTATGGATCACTCAATTACAATTTAGATTTGTTCATTTCCCCAACTTGTTTCGCCTGAATTGTCTCTCGTTTTTACCTGTTCGAGATGTATTTGTCACCCCCATAGGGTATTGCACGAAGAAAGACAATGCTATGACGTCACGGGGAAATTAGATATAATGCCATAATCATCTCTTGACGGGAGAGGTGCTCTGCAAATCAGGATAGCAAAAACCTTACAAATGCTAAAACATTTCTTGTTAAAAAGCATTAAATGATGGGAAAACATAATCATCCACTGCCTTGGGGATGTAACAGAGAAATCTCCAATCCTCTAAATAAAAATGTTGTATTTGGGTGTCTTATCCAATGAAGGGGAAGATCCTACTGGTTATTTACTGATTCTTAAAACTCAGAAAAAACAAAAAATGCTATTACATGTCTATTCAAAATAATTTCAAATATTTTCTTCGAATAGAAAATATCATATTCGATACTTTTCATAAAAAATATATATTTAAAACTTAACATTGTATTAAAGATGACGTGTATGAGGAAATTGTATTAAAGATGACGTGTATGAGGAAATTGTATTAAAGATGACGTGTATGAGGAAGTTCTGGAGGTGACGGACGAGGCCCAGGATTATCACGTGATCAGGGGTCTGGAGCCAAACACAGAGTATAACGTCACATTTCAGATAACTGTCATGGCGGCACAGAGAGTCGTGCTGCAGCAACTGAAACAGTTTACCACGCTCGGTAAGAAGATGTTCACAACTATCAGTAAATGTAGATTTTGTATTTATAGATCGACAGTATAGGGCCTCATTATTTATGTTGTTTCATATAAAAATTGATATTTCACACTCAGTATTTTATTCGCACATGTATTGTGTAAGGTATGCTATACACCTAGATGCTTGCTAACGTTACTAACAGGCCGTCACCTGGTCAGTTACATCGATCTTTGCTAGGTAACAGTTTTTATGGCCATTGGTTGCAGTGCCACTCAATGTCCGACTGGTGGATATATCCGGGGAAGATGGTTCAAGCCTCCAACTGGAATGCGAGGCGACTGGCATCACATTACCCACAATTCAGTGGAAGAAAGGAGGTCGCGTTCTTTACCGGAACTCGAGTGACGTCAGCAATAGTACTCCAGTTAAAGTATGTTTGAAAGTTCTGTTGTGAATAACACTATCTTTTTGTTTGTTGGGTATTGAATAACAGTTTATTCTGTTGTTTCCTCCGAATATTTTAGTAGGAAACTAATATTCTTATTTTGACTTGCATCTCAAAACAAAGAAGAGTACATACAAATTGTACTAAGGAACGTGGAAATTGTGATATAAACGTCATTATGTATCAAGCCGATCTAAGGATCCACATGATATTCACGTTGTATCGAGCATGTATATTTTCTCTGAACTAAATTTATATAATTCCTATCTTATCTTTCCTCTCTACTCAATCATTTCGGAGGTGTTTCTGTAAACATCCATCTGTATATGGCCCGGGCGTTAGCGAAGACGTGAAACGCCGAGAAAAAATATAATATAGGAGTATGGATATTACATGTGGATAAACGCATTAATAAAACGTCAAACTCCTTTACATTAGCGCTTGACCTCACCTGTTTTATAATAAGTGTATGCCATACGCTTCGAGGCTGGTTTGTTTCAAACTGACAGTTCTTGAGAAGAAGTATTGCCGAAAGTAACAATGATGTGTGCATTATCCATTATTTTTACGCATCACAGAGTGACCAGTACGTGTTCACGTTCGAAAGATATCCACCCAATCGAATCGTGTCTGTAATGACTGTTGTGAATGTCAGCGCGACCGACCAGGGTCGCTACAGGTGTATTGCCGCGGACGGTCTGGACAGACAGTCAGATTCTCATCAGTTCATAGGTAAGTACGACAGGACAGACACACATTGTTTCTACACCCTCATTGGTTGGATCTTAACCACGGTGATTGATAATATTGATGCGCTTTTAATAGCTTAAGAAAGAGCGGGTCAATGTTCACTTATGAAGTCAGTTTAATAGTAACGTCGCAATGTGCCCTGCCAAATGTAGTACATACCTCCGTACAATTTTTATAAGCTATTTTCTTGTTTAATGGTTGATTTAGCATATAATATGATAATAAAGGACTTTTTTATGAATATGTGATTTTAGGAACCTACGAAAGTGATGTTAACCGAGACGAAGTCGATGTTAAGATCATTTTGTCAGGTCTATATAATCACATATTCACCTCAACAAAAGTTCGTAATCAATAGATATCACATGACTCGGACGGTCAGGAATGGCTGACACAATCTCACCTGTGCACCTGTAGGTTAATAATACCAATCGGGTGGTTATTAAGGATCGTATATGATAAATGGCTGGAAGGGTCATAAATGGTAGATTCAATCTCGCCAGATCACTTATTTTTTAAATACTACTACTCGTAGATACAGAACACACAGAAAGCCACAATCGCAGTTTACGCGTACTTTGTAGGTAAAAATACTGTACTCGGAAGGTCAGGACTGATAGGCACAAACACATATACACTAAGGCCAAAGAAAAAAATATGTATGTTTCAGGTACCAAAACCGACTGTAGTTTTTACCTCCGACCCTTATAATTTTATCTCACTCGAACTTGTTCACCGGATGCAAACAGTTTGATAAACATACAAACAAATTGCAACTATATTTATAATCTCTACTTCATAGGCAGGTACCAAAACCAAATTTCAATCCCATATTTTAACTTAAAATACCTAAAAAAACATGTTTGGTAATTTTTCAATGTCATAATTTAGCCCCCACCTCTCGAAAAACCCCAATGATCTACCTTTTTCCGGTCATGTTTCCTGAAACGTATACATAATTATTTTTGGACTTATATCTACAATACGTTCGCAAAGTATTTGATGTAATGAACGACGATCTTTATTATTTGTTGCAGACCTTGTTGATCCAATCAAAAAAGTGGGCGTGTCCTCCATCACAGAGTTTGGCGCCATAGTCAGCATAACTCCCATCAGACGTTTCCGCCGCATGTCTATGACGTACATCCTGTATAAAGACCTTGACCCGCCTCGTTATCATATGGACCAAGGAAGAACACATTATGACCTTGACAACTTAGATCCGGGGACGTCATACACAGTACATGTTCAGGCTGAAGAGTTTCCGGGTGCCAGCAATCATTCGGAAATCTTCACCACTTTGGCGGTTTCCCTGCTGGACAAAGAGAAAGTATCTGTCCATGCAGTCAATTCTACGGTAAGTATACGGTTTATTTTTTTAGAATTATTCAAACATGATAGATCCGTAATGACGTAAAATGATGATAAAAATCCAACAAATGAACCTTAACTTCCTAGCTACATAAATTTGCAAAATCAATCCACTCAATACATTCAAATTTTGGTACAAGCTTCCAACGTAAAAAATCATTTACCAACTCTTCACGTGCATACATTAATAGCCAGTTATAATCCTCACAGAAATGTACCAACTCTTCACCTGCAAAAACAACCCAGTCCCCAACCTCACAGAAATGAACCAATCCTTCAAAAAACAACCCAGTCCCCAAACTCACAGAAATGTATAAATCCTTCAAAAAACAACCCAGTCCCCGAACTCACAGAAATGTATAAATCCTTGAAAAAACAACCCAGTCCCAAAACTCACAGAAATGTATAAATCCTTCAAAAAACAACCCAGTCCCCAAACTCACAGAAATGTATAAATCCTTCAAAAAACAACCCAGTCCCCAAACTCACAGAAATGTACCAACTCTTCACCTGCAAAAACAACCCAGTCCCCAACCTCACAGAAATGTATAAATCCTTCAAAAAACAACCCAGTCCCCAAACTCACAGAAACAACCCAGTTCCCAACCTCACAGAAATGTACAAATCCTTCACCTGCAAAAACAACCCATCCCCAACCTCACAGAAATGTTCTAGCTCTTTAACTGCAAAACATATCCAGTCCCTTACCTCACATAAATGTACCAAATTTGATTTGCACCTACATAGCAACATACACTTTCACACGAACAGTACTAAGACAAATGCACTGACCTACCAGCTTCAAATAATTGTACAATTCTGTACGACGATTTAATTTCTTATCCTTCATTACAGACATTGGTGATCACTTGGAAGTGCCCAACGCAGTACCGCAGTCACGTCACCTACCGGATAGTATATACAGTCAAGGGCAACAACTCTTCCAATGGTCACGTGATGGACGTAACAGATCACGAAGAAACTGCTACCATCACAGGTTAGTCGTTATCGATAGATATAAAGTAGATAAAAACAATGAATGTATCAGAGTGTTCCACATTTATATATTGTTATATTTAAAGGAAACAAAATGGACTATAAATAAGCTTTTCCTGACATAGATGCTTTGTACGTTTGACAGGACCATCCCACGCGATTTCAAATGTAAATGTTTTCTTTCATGTTCGATCTGTAGTGTATCTAATTGCTTACAGGTGATCATTCAAACGTAGCTTTAATCGTTCAAAGTCCATATTATTTGAAGCCCTAGACGGGACACTTTTATATCTCTCGAATGTCAAAATATCATATTTATTTAGATCTGAAAAATAAATAAAAATTAAATGTAACTGCGCGCGACCGAGTATTTTTTTTTTTTTATTTGGGCGATACGATTCTGTACCATTATTCCACCATAGACGCATTCCAACATACGAATATATCATTATAAGTGACCTCTCCTTCTCAGGTCTCCTTGCCAACCAGCGGTACAATATTTGTGTTGAAATGCGCAGAAAAGAAAGCACGGTCAGTAAAGTGTTTGTAGAGGGCTCGACCTACCCAGAGGCTTATCTCAACGGTAAGGGCAAAACACCTTCACAAACTGTTATATACATATCGTCAGGATAACTGTCGAGCTGACCATTTGATCGACGGGAAAAATTGAAAATAAGTAGATGCTCATATTTAGGTGCAGGTGAAATCTGAAAAGTTATATTTGGAAGTCTATCTTAAAACCCGCGTTGAAGTGTATGCTTCATATAAGATTTCTATATAAAATTCCCCCTTTGCAACCTGTTGAAATACATACATATTGACTGAAAATCTCTCTTTATAAATTTTAATTTGGAGCCTTTGTAAAATCACGTTTGAGTCCAAGAAAACGTGCCCGATGACCTGTATTGGCCTATGTATACCCTCATCCCTTCGTTACAGCTGACATCCCTCCCACTCCTCCGGCTGACGTGTTCATCGATAACCGGGACAATACGCTGGTCATATCATGGTTAGAGCCACATTCAGAATACCACACACTAGTAGAGTGGTACGAAGTAGAGGTGTTCCGAGAGGCGGAGGTCCTGGAGCGGCGACGGGTCACCGCTGACGTCACATCTATCACAATCACTCCAGCACGTACGTGAAATATTTTAGGCCTTTACTGTCCAATGAAAAAAGACATATGTGATGTTTAATTCATTTTGATTGAATGAATTAACAAATGACTCACTCTGTGCTATCTATTATCAAAAAAGATCAAAAACACTTAATGGCAAAACTACGATCATTACAAGGAATTATTTTCTTATATTCATGAATACAAAATATGATACATGATTGCTTTTCCAAGCTACCAATAACAATCGACTTTTTCACTTAATTTCAAAATTCATCAATATAGCATTTTGTTATTCTAGATAGATCTACAGAGTATACGGCCATCGTTCGGGCCTCCAATAGAGCAGGGATAAGTGACGAGGTGTCCCGGGTGTATAGACATGTCGGTGAGTACTTTCGATTACCTACTGTTGATTAGTTGCTTACTTATGACTTGTCAATCTCTTCCAAGAGTTGTCGGTTCTTACATTCACTTTGACCTCTATAAGAGGCTAAACCCACAAAAACTTAATTTCGTTGCCAAAGGTGACAAACCTATCTGCACCTTATCAAACCGCATCAACAATAAAAGCAGGACAGGAAAATCAGACACGAATATTGAATTAACGCTCCGTCAGAGTGATACATTCGAAGAAAATATCTTTATTTTATTTGAAGGTTCTGGTAAAATTACACTTTCAGCATGAACATGTTGGAAGGAAAACCCATTCTATCTAAATCATTATGATATTTGCCATACACTGTCCTAAAAATATTTACCACAATTTGCAAACTTACCAAAGGATAGAACATCTGTTAAAAGTAGCTTCAGCGGATAACCTACCAATGCTAAACGTAGTGACCTTTTTGGATATTTATTAAGATGTATAAGGATTTGTTAGGAATCATGATCTGACTAAGGCTTTAAATGATAATGTTAACATTGGTTCATGTAAATATAGGAAGCACGGTAGTCAAGTGGTAGGACGCCGTGCTCTTGACCGAAGGGTTGCGGGTTCGAGTCACGTCACAGCGCTGTGTTGTCTCTTTGAGCGAGATACTTGACTCCGCTTGTTCCAGTCTACTCAGCTGTAAATGAATACCTGGTTGGACAGTGCTAGAATGCTAGCTGCGAGCGCCGAAATGGCAGCACCGGCTGTATGCTCCACAGGGAGTATAGAAAGATATTAGCTGGTTGCAAAGGCCCTATAACCACGGATAATAATGTGTGAACCGTTTTAAGACCTACGAACTACATATAGATTGTGATAATATTATTATTTTCCCTATTAGAACGTTACAACATTTGTTCTTAATTTTAAAGGCAATTAGTGCAAACTTAAGGGTGTGCAGAAGTACACAGTGCAGCTAAACAAAAGACCAATACATTAAATGGAATTATCAGTTATTCTTCCAGATTCTCATGAGCTGTCCGATTATTCAGTGACGTCATTAAAAGCGAGTGCTATCGGTTCGACCCGGATTCTGGTGGAGTGGTCTCCTCCTAACACCGGAGAACTTACCAGGTAGTAATTTTGCGTTCTTCGCTATTGCGTATTGGCATATTGGAGCTCAAAAATGTACATCAAGTATTCTGTGGGAGTCACTGACGCACTTCCTGTTTGGTTGGCAACTCAGTAATATTTTTATATAGAGTTTGAGTTCGAAAAAACCCTAACTTGATAACGCTGTGCTAGAAACTGTTCTACTTTGCTTTACATGATTATCACTAAAAAATTGGAATATTAGCATGACACTGGGACCAGTGAGTCTTGAAATGTAGCGACACTACTAATACTTCATTGTATGTGTATAAAGCAAAACTTTGATATTATAAACAGGAAGCTTTTACTGTTGTTGTGTGTGTCTCACAGATATTTGGTCCGTTACCGTCCAAATGTCAAGGTCGGCCTAAACTCTTCTGATATTATCGACCAGTGGGTGACACGTGCAGATCACCGTTACATCATAGCCAACCTAACACCTAACGAGGAGTATGCAATATCTGTCATCCCCTACCTCAATGACGTCAACGGAAACACATCTACTGTCTATGTCAGCACATTCGGCGACATACCTGGCGAGCCACCTGTAAATGTGACGTCGACACTCGTCAACATGACGGTAGGTAGTAATGGAAATTAAAATATGGGTAGCAATCTCTATTTACTGTTAATGACAGGGATTCATCTTTAACTATGATGAAATCCTACTATGTCCGCGATATTACGACACTTTCATTTTTTAATAATAAGCAGATGTTGTTTGGCAAGAACCCATGAGCATGTAACATTTCCTTTTTGCAAATATAACCAATTAAGCATCTGCTAGGAATCTTATTACAAATTTGTCGTGCTGAAAAAGCCTAACTTTTAAAAAATGGGATAAAGTCATGTTGTCTTAAAAGCTCTGAATGAGATGCGTACCTACGATTAGTATTATTTGTAAAAGTACTAGAATATACATAATATACAAATATTTGTATATTTTAATGAAGCCTCAAAATTTGAAAAAAATGGAAACATGTTGAAAAAAGTTCTGGTGAAAAGATAATTGCTTAAACCGGGTGTTCAATCTCAATTATTTATGCCACACCACACATGTTGATTTTTTGTGTCGCCTGCGAAAAGCTGGTGACACATAGGTATTGCTTTGTCGGCGGCGTCGTCCGAACAGAGGTTTTCGTGCAATAACTTAAATTTCCTTTGGCCGATCAAACTCAAACATCATGCAGTGCTTCCTTACCAAAAGTGCTTGCTTTGGATTGCTTTTCAGGTCCGAAGGTCAAATGTCAAGGTCACTGTATCTATAAATAGAAACTTCACTAAAACTGTATACTTGACGGCTTCGATCTACCACTTGACCCACCGTGTATACCTCTGAAATGCCGTCTTACTCCAAATGTTATTGACAACACTAGCTGTTTAACATCATAACCCACAAGTTTATTCATTTATTTATGGGAAACCATCCGACAAATCATACAAATTAAACTTGGAATTGAGACAATGAGTATCCATAGCAAGTTCCTAAAAACAAAATGATGCCATCCAAAAACATAATCTATGATTATTGCTTACTTTTAACATTATTTCTTGAAATGAAAAGTGTATCTATTTCTTCGTAATCTCCCAGCTTCCTGCGCAGGCGACACATCCACTTCCGTGGAATTCTTGGTTTAAGCAAATGGTTACATATTTTGTTATTTAGCCGGAAATTAGTGGATATTTTCAAGTTACATTTGACTGTTGGTTTGTTTGCGAAAAGTTCCCCGAAATATATCAGTAATTAAGCGAAATGATGCACATCCCTTTTCGTAAAGTAGCTGTTCTATGGCTTTCTCACCCGGTATCATATAACAATTTTCTAGAGAAACATCAACTGGACTGAACAAAATGTCGTCAACATTTATTTTTTTCTGATATAAAATCCGAAAAGTATGAAATGTTTCCACTTGCATTTGTTTTCCCCTTTCCTTCGGTTCTCCATCAATAAATTACATTTTTACCTTGTTGTCCTTTATTGATATAAAAGCCGACCTTGTGTATTTGTTTTCTTCTGTATTGCTAAGCAATTAGTAAGGTTAAATAGGGCAAACGTTCTAATACACATATCATGTCAAAATATAAATAAATAAAAATGTTGCACGAAAACAATTGTGCAAAACAAATGTTAACCTAATTAAGTTGATAACATGAGCATATTTTTAATCAGTCGATCGAGGTCATGTGGCAAGCCCCGCCCGCTGTCACTTGGCATGGCGCTCTGACAGGTTACATGGTATTATACAGACAGGTCGGACACAAGATCACTAACAAAAACGTCACAGCCAGCACCCAAAGGTCCTACGTCATCAACGGTAAAGTATAAAGGAATGTCTTTATTGTATGTTGATGTGTGTTACGTCATCAAAGATGTTATACTATAAAATAAAGAAGAGTGTCTGTTTATCGTGTACTACGTCATCTTAGGTAGATAAATGTAGCTTTGACACCATAGTATTTGTATCTCTATTTCTACACGATTAAACTTTAGGTAATGTTAGGCTGTTCTAGGAATGTAGCTTTGACACCATAGTATTTGTATCTCTATGTCTACACGATTAAACTGTAGGTAATGTTAGGCTGTTCTAGGAATGTCGCTTGCACTGACGATACCGACACTTCAATATACATTCGTACAAAGACATTCTTGTTAAGAAATTGTATGTTTTTATGAACACAAATCGGCTACATCCATATTAGGCAAGAAATCCTTGCGGTTCAGGTTGGGTGCATGTTATGTAGATGTGCCGATTTACTTTTTTAATGATAAAAACCTTCCGTTCAGTTCAGCAAACACACGATCACTGCGTAGTATGTCCAAAGAAAATAGATTTTAAATCTGCAAATAATATTTAAGCCACAATTTATCCTTGTTTCGCAGCAAAACCAAAAGCTCAGCATACAATCAATGGCGAAATATGAAACAGCCATGATGTGCAAAATCAAGCACAGGGCAAAACTAATGTAGAGCTAGCATGTGAACAGCAATACGAAACTAAGAGACATAGCAAATTGAAACTAATAAAATTATATTTATAGGTAATTTACGCTATAAATGTCGGTAGTGTATTTTACCGTTGATATTTTACACACATCTTTGACAATTGTTCCCGTTGAGGCACTAAAAAGGAGTAAAGGGAGATAGCAAATCATGAAATAATCATAACAAATACGAACAAAGAAAGTACCCATTCAACGCTTTCAACACCGTAGACCATAATGGACTCATCCATATCAATGCATGGTAGAGTCTACTAAAGTTGCATAGGGGTGAAAAGGCTAATATTATTGTTCGAAGATGCCGAAAGTCAAACAAAGTACTCATCTTACTGCACCATATGGCCTTTTTCGTCCAATGGGACACATCATTGGTACATGAACTATTGTTCATACTTTGTAGATTGGATACAGTAATACTATGTTCTTACTTAAGACTATAAGACCATATAGATATGTGCATTAATGACCTTTTAAATTTTAAATACAAAAATGAAAATGAAAAAAAATAAAATAAAAAAAAACTTCTGGCTTTAATCGAATATTTTTGAGTAAGCGATAATTTTTACGATCTTTACATCTAAATAAAATGTAAATCTCGTTGTATTTGGAGACACCAATATTCTTGTAAATCAACATGAGCAAAAGTGTGTAAGATCTAGACCGTTATCAACCTGTAGACCTGATTCAGTAAACCATGGGAATTTATCTATTGGTATAATTTACCGACATCACTCGATATCAAATTGGAGTCATTGTATATCTGAGTTAGTACAAATATCGTTTATCTGAGTCAGTTAAACTCTTGTAGGTCTACATCAGGGTACCTTGTATGAGGTTGCCATGGCAGCCATAAATCTGAACGGAACAGGACGTGCCTCGGATTGGATAGAAGTTTTGACGGAAATAGACCCCGGTAAGTAACGTGCAACTTAGTATAGCAACTAAGTAACCAAATTGATCAGCCGGGAAAACAATTAAATTCATCAACTTGTATTATATAAAACTTCACCCATTAATATACAATATATGTAATTTTATTCAATATTTTATAATATATCGATTTTATCTTAGATAGTCATGTATACAATTTAAGTCATGAAGTTACCAGTGACGTTATTGAATCGTTAATCTAATAGTTTTTATTTTACATCAGCGACTCTAATAGTACCGTACCCTCCCGTTAATGTGTCTGTGGCGTCGCATAGTATGGGACTACATATCACCTGGTCCCGACCACTTGACGTCAATGTTCCGGTGACCGGATATGTTGTGGGATATGGGCGTTTTATACCGGAAGTGTACCGACATAGTCTGGACAATACGCAGACGGAATATACCATCACAGGATTACGTATGTAAATTGGTTTTGTCATAAAAGTGTGAGCTTTTTTGTATTTATTTATGATATGATGAGGTTATGACGTACGATTTGAATATATATGTATAAACATATTTCGATTTGTTTTTCTTCATTATTTCTGTAGTTTAAAAATAAGTAAATTATCAAAACATATAGAGACGGGTCTACATAGACATTTGTTTTGAAAATACTTAATTAATTCAAGCTTCTTTTTGTTTCCTGTTGATTATTTGACTTTAAACTATTAAATCTGTTAAAGGCACCAGATGAAACAAAACGCAGGAAAAAGACAACAATAAAACAAAGCAAAAACAAAACTTCGAGCAGGTAACTGTGGCCTTACACAGCCAGAGCGATAATATAATTGCCGAACAAGTACATACTGTGACCATGTTGCACCACGTTAATATAATCCCGACACTGTTTACAGGACAAAACACGCAGTACATCGTCAGCGTACGGGCGTTCAACAAGATCGGAGAAAGCCGTCCAGTTTTTAAAATGGGCAGAGCGGGTAGGTTGTTGTCTTAATTTGTTGTATGTATCTGTACAATCACAATTGAATAAAAACAAACAGAAGCGTAATATAAGACAAAAATATAAAAAATGAGGGGGAAATTTGAAAATAAAAAAGGGTTCCTTCCCTTGTTAAATGCTGTCACTCTTGCAGCCCTCCTGACCGCTTGACCGGATTAAGGATTCCCAATATCGCTAAGGAAGTACATATAAAGCTTTATATGATTATAAAGAAAGACACACCTGTGCATTGATAAATAACGATATTTTTAGGATGGCCATTGCAATCAAGTAAGATATAGGCCATTTGTCTTTTTGTCCAATCGTCATGCGTAATTGTTATTGTAATGTTGTGTGTATACAACGAGCTTAAACACAAACCTACGTACAATAAGAAGGTACAACATTACTCACGATATCACGTGTAAATCTGGTTGGTTTAGGTAGGCAGTCCTCCATCATCACGAGAACCACGGTCGGTCCTGCTGAAGTCACAGAAGTTATTGGTAAGTCTTTAAAATGCCAAGCCCCCTAGTACATTTTGTACTGTAGTGATATTTCACCCCTCTCTCCTCCTACCGACTTCAATGCCAAACCCGCTAGTACACTTTGTACTGTAGTGATATTTCACCCCTTTCTCGTCCTGCCGAGTTCAATGCCAAGCCCCCTAGTACATTTTGTACTGTAGTGATATTTCACCCCTTTCTCGTCCAGCCGAGTTCAATGCCAAGCCCCCTAGTACATTTTTTACTGTAGTGATATTTCACCCCTCTCTCGTCCTGCCGACTTCAATTTGTCCCTCGACTGTTGCAGTTTTAAATGAATATTGCTTATAATATGAAATTCATGTTCATAAATAGGTAATCTTCGAATGTTCAGTTGAATGTTTATGAAGCATTTTATTAGAATGTGCGTCCATAGCTTATTCGCTGATCACAATAACCCGATATACTAGTAATTTAGTATTCACAACTAAATGCTCAATTTTTTTACCAGACGTACAAAAAGACAGAATTGTTACAAATGAAGATTAGCTTGCCCATGCTATTGTAACTCGACACATGCTAGTTCACATTGATTGCTGGCTTTACTCCTTCAAAGTTAATTCAATTATTTAAATGTTACATAATATCACGAGATTACAGAATGTATTTAAATATCAAGAAAATTATTGATCACGAAGATCGTATAAACCCCTTCAAACACTGCAGACTTTTCTGCATCAGCATCAATTGCATCATAGACAACAGGAAGCATACGAGGGCGCATTTCAGTTTTCCTATACTGAAACATTTCTCTTTATATCAAAGTATCTGCTTCGCCACTAACGGGCTTGATATGATTTGGTATTCATGGGTTTGCTATAAATATCACCATTTCCGTGCAAGTAATCGAATGTGAACGGACAAACTTACAAAACAGTGTTTCAAACAACGTATGTTTATTAATTCTATATAATATTAATTGATAAGCTTTACAGTTGCCTTCATGATCTCATTTAGAAACGCTTGATTTCTTCTTGCAACATGAATACGACATTTTGATCACGCTTCGAGACGTGTCTGGCAGTTTCATTGTCACGTCCTGAATGATCAGTTTGAAAGCGTGATTTGTTAGTCAGCTGTCAGTTACATGGTAAGCGTCGCCAATAAAGCGAACGACATACTATTATTAACCGACTACTTATCCCTATAACTTGTTAATATTCCAGCGTTATTAATATCTACGATTTGATAACAGGCACTATCATTGCTGCGATAACAGAAATCGTATTTCTACTGAAACCGTGAAAATTCTGAATGCTAATTATCCGCTAACGTTACAGTTTTTAATAGTCACAAGAAGAAATAGTTAGCTTATGTATTAGCGTAAAGACTAACTTGTCATGTAAAACTGAAGTATAATATTATCGGTAAAAAGTGGATTGCTTATCTTAATGACAAGTTTATTCGAACAAGGCATGTCAAGCACAGCGTCAAAAGCGACGCCATGTGGTAGAAGTAAATATGTAGCTTTATTTTGGACAAAAACGAATTATTGTTTCATCGGTAATTTGGTAATTTGGAGTAGATGAAGGAACCATGCCAATTTACATGAAGGTATTTCTGAATTATTAAGAAATATGTTTCAAAGTAGTTGTTTCGCCGTTTATGGTTCGACGAACTATTATTATTATTTTCTGACGAACCTGGTGCCCCCTCTAATTAAAAATATTTAATATTTTTAAACGAACCTGGTGCCCCTTCTAATACAAAAGAATTACATTTTTTCAGATGAACCTGGTGTCCCCTCTAATAAATAATAATAACTATTTCAGACGAACCTGGTGCCCCCTCTAATCTGAAAGTGAGAGAAATCAATGAGGAAGTAGTCACCCTTCGAGTCACGTGGGAGCAGCCTAGCGTCCTCAACGGAGAACTTACAGGTAGGGTAGATATATACAGGTAAGAAAGGAGAAATATAGGTAATGGTCAAATTTAGTCCGAGACACTGATGATATCAATCCTACGGCAATTCCTTCATAACTGTATTTCGTTCAGTGACACCTTTCACACACGTAAAGGCGAGACACAGAACAAACCGGTCGGTGAATGTTTTCCTCTTTTAACTGATGTTCTACCATTGTGATTGTTTTGTTTTTTTTTAGTTTGAGAATATGTTATTGTACATATCTCAAGTACAAACGAAACTAGGCAACAGGCCAATCCAATACTGCAAGCTCTCTCCCGTTATTTTACGTAAAAATAGTAAATTATCACATTGATACGATTGGTAATCTTTATGCGATTTTAAATCATATGGTTTATTGGTATGTGTCAATTTGAAAAAGAATAGATAATAAAAATACACAAATCCCAACTTGAAAGTAATTATGAAAATTCATATCTTTCAAGATTAAACGTTAATAAGAATACATGTGTGTCTTCTAAAATAATAATTGACGGGACAATAATACCCAACTTCCGCAATAAAATTTAACTCGATAATGCATATCTCCTGAAATGAAATTTATAGGAAAAAACACATCTCTCGAAATAAATATTAGTTCCAGAAAGGCATTAAAAGTATTTATTAAATTTATACAAAGGTCAAACGGATTCGCAGAGACATAACAGAATCACACTTATCGATCTATGTGAGTTGAAAGACAGTCACGAATTAATGTTTCCTCGTGGCTTTACAGTAAGGAAGCCAGCGACACGTGTATTTTGCTTTGGTTCGCAATATGAAACATGTAAAATATATCTACTAGTTATTTTTTAGAATTGGTTAATCATGGGGTTTTAGTATAAATCCTGTAAATTAAGTATATTTGTGACATTAATTAAAATGTTTCATTGTAGGATAAACACATTGTAAACTTTAATCCCACTTTGTTTCTTAAAACTGTTGTAGGGTATTTGATTTACTACACGACCGACCCGACGTTTGCACCGGAAAACGAAGCTTTTGTGTACGAAGAGAGGGAGGCTACTACCCTGAAAAACCTTGAATTCAATACGACTTATTACTTCCGGGTAGAGAGTCAGTATAGAGGTGTCAGCGGACTCTCCTCCAGGGTGGTAGCTTATAAAACAAAACCACCAGGTAGAGTAATGCTTAATATACTTCATTTTATTTCAATATATATTGGAGTACGGCATACATTTCGATAGAACAAGAGATATAATTAAAATATGTTATTCTGGTTATTTACCAGACACCAGGCTACATATCCGTTCAATCAAAAGTTGTAACGTCATTATGTATATTTAATATATCTGTCCATGTTGTTACGTCATCAGTATCTTACCGTTCCCCAGACAACAGGCTACATGTACAAAATCTGTCCCATGTGTTTACGTGATCAGTATTTTCCGTTCCTCAGATATGTCCATCTTGATACGTCATCAGTATCTTTCCGTTCCCCAGACAACAAGCTACATGTACATATCTGTCTATGTTATAACGTCATTATTATCTTTCCGTTCCCCAGACAATAGCCTACATATCCTGCCAGCACCGACCATTACAAGTTTGTCGTCCGGTGCGGACTATCTCCAGGTCAAATGGCTTCCGCCACCCCCACAGTACTCGCATGTGGTCCGTGGATACATCTTGGGATACGGCTTGGACGAGGCCAATGAGAAACAAGATATTATACCCGTCAGCATCAACTCGTATACACTGAACAATCTCAGTAAGTATGTCCCTATGTTGTATACAGGGGACACGGTAGTCAGGGGCGTTTCTAGGATATTTGAAAGAGGGGGCGTAGAATCAAATCTTTCGCCGAGCGGAGCGATGCGAAAAACATAAAATAATTGTGAAATGCACTAATGTAACGGTTCCTGACTTGGAGCATGTATATTTTATTGTTAAAGTGTCAGGGTTTGACATTTTTTATGCCGAATTCTCTCCATTAATTGTCTATGGTATATTAAAATGATTGGATGGATCTTAACAGCAGTAGACCAATAACGAGAAATTCCAAATTCTAGGGTATAAAGCGTTAATTAACATTTCAATAGTCCTAGGCCAGGATTTTATGAACGGGAGGCGTAATTACGGTTGCCCTGGTAGAGGGTCCATGTTTTTTTTGTGTGTGTGTGTGTTTTTTTTTTNCCCCTGGTATTTTCGCGGGGTGTAATGTTTTGCGATTTCGCGGATCAATAACTTCAATAACGTCATAACGGTAATATTGTCATGAAAAAGCGAGTATATGTTGGTATCGGGTTTTTTTCATCAAGAGTAGTACAAGATGTTTGAAAATAGATTATATCACAGAGGTACTAGTTTTGTTGACTGCTTAACATAATACACTTACTTGTTTTTGCTCAATATGCTGTAATAAAGCGTATTTATTTGACTCTGTGACAATTAATATGTCTTGTGTCACGTCTTTGTGCTAAAACACCGCGAAAATGTAGTTCCTTTCTCTTAGTATCTCCTGTCTAGATAACGGAATATAATCCATGGAAGTCTAATTTTCTAATTTTCGGTCAAAAGCGCGAAACTTTAAAGCCCGCGTAAATAACCCATTTACCCTATGATAACCATTTTCAGTATCAACCCTCCCTACACCCTGAATGAACTCAATTACAATACCCTATATGCTGAAATATGAGTAACACGTCATGGTATGATATGTAAATAACAGAAATTAGAAAAAGAATAGAACAGATTAGATATTTAGAAATGCTGGCGCCTCCCTTTTATAGTTGGATAATTTAGATACTTAGAGATTCCCAAACGAGTGCTGGTTCTTATCATGTTTGTCTTACTCGAGTTTTCCTCCCTTGGAAATTCATTTTTCTGTTTCTGATCGGGGAATCGCAGATGTCAAAGTTATGTCACAGATGACGTCAGAATGCGTTGTAACGTGATGTCATTATTAAAAGACTGACCAATGAATTCACGTACAGTGTGTTACTAAGCTTTTGTGTACGAAGAGAGGGAGGCTACTACCCTGAAAAACCTTGAATTCAATACGACTTATTACTTCCGGGTAGAGAGTCAGTATAGAGGTGTCAGCGGACTCTCCTCCAGGGTGGTAGCTTATAAAACAAAACCACCAGGTAGAGTAATGCTTAATATACCTCCTCATCTTTTGCAGGTCCCTCGACTATGTACCATATTTCACTGCGGATGTTTAATGAACTTGGAGACAGTGCTCAGACATTTGTAAACGGGTCGACGCTTGGTTAGAAAAGTATGAACAGCTCAAAGCTGGGTTAGAACACTGTGAACGGCTCAACGCCAAGTAGGACAACTATAAACGGGTCATTGTGTTAAAAAACCATGAATGGGATCAACGCTGTGATGGAACTCTTTGAACAGCAAAACGCAGGGTTTTAAAAGTATTGAATTGAATATGCGTTGTTATTTAGCAGTTTTCAATAGGCCACGTGATATTATGTGACAAATAAAAGGACTGCCTGTTGGTATGTGACAATTTAAAATTGTGGTTTTGTGAAAGACTAAAATGCAGTTTTTCAGCTTTAGTCATGTATTCGTCTGGTGAAAGCTGGACATGTTATGTTTTTTTAAAACGGGACAAGAATGATAACATTACCTTTCATATTCATATTCAGCAGCCACTACACACTATAGTAAGGGTAATATTTCTGTTTATTGAACTTTATCCAAGTATAAATAAATAAGCTATACTTTGTATGTTTTATCAAACTCGAGACATGTATTAAAATACATTCAGATTCATATTTATCCAACCGTATATACGTATTGATACGTTACTAGTAATATGTATTTTCATCAAACTTGATATAATTACAGAAAGATTAGAAAGCATGAAGTTATCAAATTTTAGACACCCATGGACACGTTAGCAGAAATATGTATCTTTATGAGGCTTGCAATAGGAATAGGTGAGTATTGACAGTAATGTTTTCGACATGTATTATTACGTTTCTATTTTTGTGTTGTACATATAGACGTCAATATTATGATAGTGTGACAAAAACCTTAACAGAAATGCGGCATATGGCTTATTGATAATATCAACCCGAATATCAAATTTATCAAGATATAACATTTTCGTCATATATCCACTACTGTCTGGGTAAAATAGATACATCACAGCGTATATACATAAGAAATAAATATATCACGACGTCAATTCGTAAATGCAAAAACAATCAACAGTGTTAACACATAGGGAACAATATTCCACAGTGTAAATTCATAAAGGCTAAGTATACAAAAGCGTCATCGCAGAAGGAAGAATACCACTACTGCGGCGCTAATTCATACCACAGCGTAATCACATATTTCATCTAGCTCAGGTGTATCTATGTAATAATGTCCACGTACAACAGGATTATGTCCAGTGGGAGGAGGTGGAGCAAGGGGAAAAGAGGTAAATAATAGATAATGGAGCATAAAAATAGGAAATAATAGATAATGGAGCGTAAAAAGAGGTAAATTATACCCTTTGGAGCATAAAAATAGGTAAATAATAGATAATGGAGCATTCAAGGGGTTAATAATAGATAATGGAGCATAAAAAGAGGTAATAATAGATAATGGAGCATAAAAATAGGTAAATAATAGATAATGGAGCATAAAAATAGGTAAATAATAGATAATGGAGCATAAAAATAGGTAAATGATAGAAATAGATAACGGAGCATAAAAAGAGGTAAATAATAGATAATGGAGCATAAAAATAGGTAAATAATAGATAATGGAGCATAAAAATAGGTAAATAATAGATAATGGAGCATAAAAAGAGGTAAACAATAGATAATGGAGCAAAAAAATACGTAAATGATACATAATGAAGCATAAAAATAGGTAAATAATAGATAATGGAGCATAAAAAGAGGTAAACAATAGATAATGGAGCATAAAAAGAGGTAAATAATAGATAATGGAGCATAAAAATAGGTAAATCATAGATAATGGAGCATAGAAATAAGTAAATAATCGATAATGGAGCATAACATAAATAGGTAAATAATAGATAATGGAGCAAAAAAATAGGTAAATAATAGATAATGGAGCATAAAAATAGGTAAATCATAGATAATGGAGCATAGAAATAAGTAAATAATCGATAATGGAGCATAACATAAATAGGTAAATAATAGATAATGGAGCATAAAAAGAGGTAAATAATAGATAATGGAGCATAGAACGAAGTAAATAATAGATAATGGAGCATAAAAAGAGGTAAATAATAGACAATGGAGCATAACATAAATAGGCAAACAATAGATAATGGAGCATAACCTAAATAGATAAACAATAGATAATGGAGCATAATAAGAGGTAAATAATAGATAATGGAGCATAAAAAGAGGTAAATAATAGATAATGGAGCATAGAAAGAAGTAAATAATAGATAATGGAGCATAACATAAATAGGTAAACAATAGATAATGGAGCATAAAAATAGGCAAATAATAGATAATGGAGCATAAAAATAGGAAAATAATAGATAATGGAGCATAAAAATAGGTAAACAATAGATAATGGAGCATAGAAAGAGGTAAATCATAGATAATGGAGCATAAAAAGAGGTAAATAATAGATAAAGGAGCATAGAAAGAGGTAAATAATAGATAATGGAGCATAAAAATAGGCAAATAACAGATAACGGAGCATAAAAATAGGTAAACAATAGATAATGGAGCATAGAAAGAGGTAAATCATAGATAATGGAGCATAAAAAGAGGTAAATAATAGATAATGGAGCATAGAAATAAGTAAATAATAGATAATGGAGCATAACATAAATAGGTAAACAATAGATAATGGAGCATAAAAAGAGGTAAATAATAGAGAATGGAGCATAGAAAGAAGTAAATAATAGATAATGGAGCATAACAAAAATAGGTAAACAATAGATAATGGAGCATAGAAAGAGGTAAATCATAGATAATGGAGCATAAAAAGAGGTAAATAATAGATAATGGAGCATAAAAAGAGGTAAATAATAACCTTTGGAGCATAAAAATAGAAGTCAAGAATAATGTAAAAGGAGAGCTGATTTGGAAGGAGTCAGATGAGCTAACAATAGGAAGAATAAAATGTCTGCCTGTCCGATTTCTGCTTGAGAATATCTTAGTATGTCTTCTGGATAGCATGCTTTCTAATATATCTGTCATTTATTATATTGAGGCGAGACTCTGGTCCTTACAGCTTTTTTATAATAGGCTCTATTTAATGTATTGCATCACAATACAAACACTAGAGGTGGCAGTTCTTTGAAACATTTCTGCGTATTTCTAAACATTTTCTTTGGGTTGGTAAGTATGGATTATGAAAAGTTCTTTGTACACAACCAGATCTTCGAGATTGGCGTAGCCGAAATTGACATCGATTTTCTGGACAACTCGTACACATTTTACACCTTTGTGTGCATACGCTTCACTGGTCAATTGCCTGATGAAGGTGACAGTACACATATCGTATTAGTCATCGAAACGTCACATAGACAATTGTATTGGTTGTGTAAAATGAACTTGTCATAATTTCTGCGTATTATCATCACAGTTGGTAACGGCGTCCCCTATGAAATACTATTAGATACTAACGTTGAGACAACATTTAACTAGGGATGTCATTAATTTGGTATCCCTTTGATGGTCTGTCTGCAAAGTGAAAACCAGATAATTATGATTTTACTTGGTAACATATAAAATAGATGTGTAATTTTGTTCTTGTTTGTTGTTTACTTTACCTTAAGGAGATTCCACCCTTTCGCAATTAACCAGTGGAATTCGTTGAAGCTTTCACATAATGGTTATGTATGTAGAGATGATTTTATGAAAATCTAAGCAATCGGATAGGCTAGGGATTTTTTGGGGGAAAATACCAAAAAATAAAATGAGTTGTCAATTTCAATATTTTCCTTTTTTGGTGTGTGGCATTGTTCGGACCAATAAAAACGATAAAATTAATTAACCCTACACATATTTTGTTTATCAAAAATACGTGAAACATTTTACACAAAGTGCGTTTTATTGAAATTGTATAGATAAAAGTGGTTATCTACAAGCTAAAAGCAAACAGGACACAAAGTTTCATACAAAAATAATGGGAAATTGAACAAAATATACACAATGGTTTTATAATTAATTAATATTACATTTTACTTTGATCACGGATAGAGTTGTCTTCTACTGAGAGCGTATATAATTATGGCGGAAACTATAAGAGTGGTGAGGATGTCTTACCGACAGCAGAATCCGCAAAGTTTCTTCGTTATTGCATGCACATTCTAATAAAATAAACCTGTTAAAGAGTGATCAAATCTTCGAAATTCGTTGGAGTTTGGGGTAAAACATCCTTGGTTAGGTTTTGGTTATCGTGTTTTGTGATATATTTTCCTAAACAGACGGGGTAAAACTGATTTAAATTAGTTCATATCTCTGTTAGTCGAGTAGTTTAGGGCACTGGATAGAGCTGTTGATAATTTAACACTCATTGCTTCGTACGTATCATGTATTATCGAACCCACGACCCAGTGGCGGAGGGCTAGTGGTAGCAAAATGTCAGACGCCTTAACCACTTGACCACATTTTAAAAGCATATTTGTAATTATAAGATCAGGAACATTGTCACTTTTCGTTGAATGTTTTATATTTTTAGAGAATATTGCGTCTTCAATCAGCATGCCAAAGCGAAGCACTGAGGGATTTGCTCTGTTGTATGATCTTGTTCGCCCGGTCCAAGTCGAATATTTATGTATGTTTCCAAACTCGAAAAATTTGGAGGCCATCGGAATTCTTGGTTGAAGTAAAACGTAACAAGAATGCCACTTATGATGACGTGTGCTTATATTCTAATCCACAGAAAATCTTAATCAATTATAAACTTGTTTAGATTATTCGTCAGCGACATAGGTTGGATCATGCTTCATCTAGACATTATGATCCAAGTGTGAATATCTCGCTCATATGTACCAGATGTCAATAACATTTAACCTTGGGCAATGCTAAACGTTGACCGCTGACCTAAAAACCAATAACTTAGAAAAAAAGTATTCTAAGTGCCGGTCTACATAACATACCCAACATGTATCATGGCTCTTGACATGTTGGTTCTACAAAAAAATATTGTTTGAAATGTTTAACATATTTGAACCTTAATACTTTTGAAAGTAATTCAATGTCATTTATGAGGACAATTCATAGCGATCCATCCCAGGTACCCACTGGCCAAATATTCAAAATGTTCTTCTAAGAAATTAAAAAATATCACCTGTAAGGCATGAATACCCTTTTGCCCTTTAAAGTTAGTTTCATTGTTTGACGACTTTGCTACGAATGGTAAAACGGACTCAGATCTGGTTGACCTATAAATAACAACAGTGAGATTTGCTTTAGCATTGGGATCCTAAAATGTTACCTCATCCAAAGAATTATCATACTTAACATTTTAACCCAACATCATCTGATGGTGGGCTATTCAAATCGCCCTTCGTCCCTCCATTGTCCGTCCTTCAACAATTCTTGTTATCGCTATTTCTCCGAAAGGACAGGAGGGATCTTTCCCAAATTTGATATGAAAGTTCCCCTTTGTGCCTAGTTGTGCATGTTCACTTAGAGACTAAACGGATAAACAATGTGGCCGACTGGCGGTCCCTTGGATTTTGACAGTGAATGTTTGTTATAGCCATTTCTCAGAAAGGACTAGGGGGATCTTTCTCAAATTTGATATGAAGGTTCCCCTTGGTCCCTAGTTGTGCATGTTTACTTTTGAGATTGATCAAATAAACAATAAGGCCGATAGGCGGCCATCTTGATATTTTACATTGAATGTTTGTTATGGCTATTTTTCATGAAGTACAGGAGAGGTCTTTCTTAAATTTGATATGAAGGTTCCCCTTTGTCCCTAGTTGTGCATGTTCACTTAGAGACTGATCGGCTAAACAAAATGGCTGACTGGCGGTAATCTTGAGTTTTGAAATTGAAAGATTTTTATTGCTTTTTCTCAGAAAGGACTGGAGGGATCTTTCTCCAAAATGTTGTCAATGTGCATTTACTGTTAACATGACTCTATCAAATAGACAAGAGAACAGATCTTACTGATATAGAATTAATGAAAATTGGACAATGGTGGAGGCCAAGGTCCCTCTGGGATCTCTTGTTATAAAATTTAATGGAAAAGCTGATGGGATGCAATGGCAAATTGATGCAAACGCAAAGAAAACGTTTATCATGAACCTCCTTAGCCAGGTGATACCTGAAACAATGTGCCAATTCATTATCCCTCCTTAGCCAGGTGATACCTGAAACAATGTGCGAATTCATTATCCATCCTTACCCAGGTGATACATGAAACAATGTGCCAATTCATTATCCCCCCTTAGCCAGGCGATACCTGAAACAATGTGCCAATTCATTATCTCTCCTTAGCCAGGTGATACCTGAAACAATTTGCCAATTCATTATCCCTCCTTAGCCAGGTGATACCTGAAACAATGTGACAATTCATTATCTCTCCTTATCCAGGTGATGACTGAAACAATGTGCCAATTCATTATCTCTCCTTAGCCAGGTGATACCTGAAACAATTTGCCAATTCATTATCCCTCCTTAGCCAGGTGATACCTGAAACAATGTGTGAATTCATTATCCCTCCTAACCCAGGTGATACATGAAACAATGTGCCAATTCATTATCCCTCCTTAGCCAGGCGATACCTCAAACAATGTGCCAATTCATTATCCCTCCTTAGCCAGGTGATACCTGAAACAATGTGCCAATTCATTATCCCTCCTTAGCCAGGTGATACCTGAAACAATGTGCCAATTCATTATCCCTCCTTAGCCAGGTGATACCTGAAACAATGTGCCAATTCATTATCCCTCCTTAGCCAGGTGATACCTGAAACAATGTGCCAATTCATTATCCCTCCTTAGCCAGGTGATACCTGAAACAATGTGCCAATTCATTATCCCTCCTTAGCCAGGTGATACCTGAAACAATGTGCCAATTCATTATCCCTCCTTAGCCAGGTGATACCTGAAACAATGTGCCAATTCATTATCCCTCCTTAGCCAGGTGATACCTGAAACAATGTGCCAATTCATTATCCCTCCTTAGCCAGGTGATACCTGAAACAATGTGCCAATTCATTATCCCTCCTTAGCCAGGTGATACCTGAAACAATGTGCCAATTCATTATCCCTCCTTAGCCAGGTGATACCTGAAACAATGTGCCAATTCATTATCCCTCCTTAGCCAGGTGATACCTGAAACAATGTGCCAATTCATTATCCCTCCTTAGCCAGGTGATACCTGAAACAATGTGCCAATTCATTATCCCTCCTTAGCCAGGTGATACCTGAAACAATGTGCCAATTCATTATCCCTCCTTAGCCAGGTGATACCTGAAACAATGTGCCAATTCATTATCCCTCCTTAGCCAGGTGATACCTAAAACAATGTGCAAATTCATTATCCCTCCTTAGCCAGGTGATACCTGAAACAATGTGCCAATTCATTAACCCTTCTTAGGACCATCCTTGATACTCCAGGGGTTACGCTCACTCACGTTCTCTGCACCCCTGGAATATGTCATAGCATAGCAAAATAGAAGGCACCCGGCTAGCTATTTGATATGCCTGAGGTGAAAAACAAAAATCTGACAAATCGCTAAACCAATATCTATCCTTTCAAGATTGTAGAGGAGCAACACCCGACTTCAAAGCCAATCAATTACACTGTTATGTGGCCGTGAGATTCTTTTAATGTACAACAAAGGTCAAACTAGTATTCCTGACTCACCCACAAGGTTGTGTAACATGTCATGAGGTGTTCCAGGGGTGCAAGGAGCGTTTTAGGGTGCAACCCCTGGAGTATGGAGGATGCCTTTGGACATACTTTTTCATACATAATTCAGGGGTTTAACGCATAAGCTCCTCTGGTTCAACAGTAGTTCCAAGACATTTTGGATTTCCAACATTTTGGCCCCTAATGAGTACTAGAAGGACAAAAGAGCTGTATGATGCAGTGTAATTCATTTATGGCATACTCTGTCTATTATAAAAATTTAAGGTGCAATAACCTGTGTGTATAACGTTATTATTGAAAATGAATAAACTATCATAACTGTTTATAGTGGGACACAAGACCCTATTTCAGCATGGGGAGTATGTAACAAACACAATTTGGTAATTGTAGGTGATGGATATCGAGATATGCCTCAAAAGAAGCTACACAAAAAGGAACAAAGGGACATAACTCTATATTGTTGGACGTTATACCAGAAAATCCACAGTTCAAAAGGTACTACTATACAAAGCTAGGCAATAATAGATGAGCACGTTTATGAGATATGCTCCAGACAAGGTGACACACTAAGTGAGACAGACTGTCTTATAGACAGAGAGCAAACCACTCGTTCCCTCAGGTACTACTGTTTGGTGGCTGATAAAGGTGTCTGCACCTATTGAGGTATACACTATTATTAATCGTGATAAAAGGAACAAGAAGACGCTGTCATCGATATCCCCTGCTCTCGGTACAAAAGACATAAAAAACATGAAGCGTAAAATATGTCAAAATCAACATCAGCAATATGCATTCAGTAGAGCAACCCTAGATACACAACTGATGCAAGTATAATCAACATAACACTTGTAGTAGGCAAGATATAGATGAGAGCAATTCTTCTAAACCTTGCATGAAGATAAGAGCAATTCTTTTTGACCAAGTCAATGAAGCATAAAATATAGGTCGAAATCAGTATTCGCAATATGCTAACAGTAGAGCACCAATTTATGCTATATAATCAACATAGCATGTGTAGTAGGTAAGATATAGATGAGAGCAATTCTTCTTAACCAAGTCAATGAAGTGTAAAATATAGGTCAAAATCAGCATCCGCAACATGCTTTAAGTAGAACAACCCTAGATACACAATTGTTGCAAGTATAGTCAACATAGCACTTGTAGTAGTCTAGTAGACATGATATAGATGAGAGCAATTCTTCTTTACCAGGTGCATGGACGGACCTCATTTCTATATCCCCGCTAACTTGTTGAAAAGTAAAATAAATTTGATATTTTGGATTGGAGAACATTTCAGATTTAGAAACATTGGAATTGTTTAACCATAAAACAAAATAGAAACAACTTTTGAGTGTTAAACATTTATTTAATTTTCATTACTTATATATTATATGAGGATATGAAATTTTAACGGTCAGGATTTTACTTATTTCCTTAACATAATACACACAATTTGAAGCCTATTTTTAATATCAAAATTCATCAAGTCTTTCTGGTTTTTTTCCTACTTAATACTTAATAAGCTATAATTAAGGATAAGTCATTCAGAAAGAAAAACACAGTTTACAAGTACATAACTATGTACATGGGCAGTTCCTCTTATACTGCACATTAACTCTTAGTACAAATTTCCTCTCTTCTTCATCAATCATTCTCTTCATACATCCCACTTGTATTTACCAACCAAACTCATATACCATTCATGTTGCAGTATAATTCCATATGTCAATGATTACCATACATTAAGGAACATTCCAAACAACAATTAATGTTCCTCCATCCATACCACAAACATTGTTTCCTATCCATTCATCAAAGACCATTAACTGTGCAATATGACAATGTTCCTACCTCCATACCACAAACATGGTTTCCCATCCATACAATTGATGTCCCTTTGTCCATACAACAAAAACCATTCACATTGCTATATGACAGTGGTTCTCCTCCACTAGACAACATATAGTCACTCCTCCTCAGACAATGAACATTCCCCATACACAGGACAATGCACCTCCATTACCATATATGGTCATAATAAACTTTCAATTAACCCTGATCTGTCACAAGTCTTTGATATTATCAGGTTCAATGTTTGTCTTTATTTCTTTGTCACTTCCTTTCACTTTGTTCCTTCCTCACTTGCCCTTTCTCCCTTTCTTCTTCTGGCTCTTGCTGCTTTGTGTGGGCTGGGCCTGCGACTGGGTGGAGGCACCCGACGACTGTCGCGTCTTGAGTTTGGGGATCATTTCACACACATACTTCAGCACAGCTTTACCTGCAGCAAAGCAATAGTAAACAGGTTCAAAAGTAGGAAAACATTTCGTAAAACATACATATATACTTATACTGTTAATATATTAGACCTATACACAAAGCCGTATTAAAGAAATGGAGCTAAATGCAAAATCTAACCAAATTCAGTGGAACATAAACTATAGATCAATCAATCAATAAAATATAGTGTCACATGCCAATACATACATAAAACAGATACATTTCACAAATCCAGGTAAAACCATATTAACACCCAGCTATTACTGACTTATGAGACACTTAACCCTTTCACCGCTGTAGACCATAATGGACTCATCCATATCAATGCATGGTAGAGTCTACTGAAGTTACCTAGGGGTGAAAGGGTTAAAAACAATTTAACAATAGTCATCACACTTAATTTACAATACAATGCAGTGAAAATTTACAAGTAAAATACCGGCATTCAATCAAAATTACACAGTTATTCTAACTTTAAGAGATTCAGTTTTATTTGTTTAAAATACCTATATTCAGAGGATGCAATCATTAATATTTGGAAAAAAAATCGTAATTATATTCTCCACCTGCGGAACATTAAAAAATACATTTCTAAAATATGGTGAATATCAGAATTAACCATCAAGAGGTTAAATTTGCCAACACAATCACAATCTTTGAAATATAGATATTGTAATCTCACTAAGTTTTGAAACAGGTGGTTGACTTAGAATATCCGATTGAATGTTCACTAGCTCTAATGTTGACCTACTAAAAATAGCCAGTCCTAAGTTGAGAAACAGTTTGCCACTTTTTGCAGGTAACTGGGTTTTAATGAGAACACTGTATATGATAATGATAGTGTGGTAATCCTCAAAATGTATCAATATTAACTTGTATACCGTCTAACTTACAATCCAGAGGTACAAACCAGCTCCTTTTCTGGACGTAGCTCCACCTATATTTTAAGTTATATCAACGCAAAAAGGTTAAGGATGCCAGTTAAGGATGTGATATAAAACTAGGACAGGTTTTAGGATTTGTGAGGTGCAGACTTACGATCAGGGAATTTCTCCATCATGGGTTCCCCGTTCTCTCCCTTTATCTGTACTCTCACACGACCCCGGGTCTTAAGGTCACGATGATCAAGTTCCCGTGGATACACCTTGTTCTAAAAACAGATTTACAGAATTTACAAATCAAGTAATACACAGGTCTGATAGTGCGTCATTCACTTTAGTGTTTTTCAAGGAAATAATTAAAAAAAGTATTACTCAATATGACTCAATGTATAACATCACAGAAAATGTTCTGTCAAACATCATGCAGTGTCCATTTACACTTATAACACCATGGAGATTTTATAGACAAATTCTGGACAAAGATGTGAACTTTAATGCGTAAAATTTGTATTGTCAAAGCAACTTTGATAAATGTAGGTGAAAGAAGAAGGAGTTCTTCAGAAAATTTTAGGCATCAAAAATGAACACAAAGGGACATAACTCCTTATATTGCGGCACGAGACCTGTCTCAAGATGTATATATTTACTTGTGAAATTGAAAGAATATTGCACTCGAGACAAACATTAAGGATGTTGCACTCTAGACAAACATTAAGGATGTTGCACTCTAGACAAACATTAAGGATGTTGCACTCTAAGACAAACATCAGTATTAACTTTATATAGTCAGGCTAAGGCCTGATTCAAATACAAGTAACTCCAACTTTCCAATAAAAACAATTTCAGTGAATATAAATGAAATAGCAAGAAAGTTACATGACATAACCAATATATTGCTTATGCAATTGTTCTGTATTAAATTAGATGGATGTATAAAAAAGCCTTTCAAAACGTTTTTGTATTGGAGTTCTGTGCACATTAACAATAAGAATTTTAATCTAACTTTACAAAATTGTATCTTTCTGCCTAAACATATTTATAGGACAAGGAAATCGGGTTACGAATGCATGTAGCAACAGTAAAATAAACCTATTTTCCAGATGTCAGTATTAATAATAAATATATAAAGTTTAGACACAGAATCTACAAACCTCAATACCAATCAGCAATCCACAGGGCCCTAGCACGTCTCTGATCTCCAGAGTTTGAGGGTTATCTACACACTGAAAATACAATGTAAATCAGAATAAACAGCAAAACAAATCTTAACATAAGATACAGACTTCTGTCAACCGTTCATCAAGTTCTATAGTGACCTATGTCAATGATATCTTTTTATTCAATGTGTCAAATAACATTTACTCTTAAATTTGTTGCAAATAGACATGTTCTTTCATACCCAAGTTTTCTGCTGAAAGCCCTGGTTAGGTGGTCAAAAAACTTTTCAGTAAAACTTTGTTATTCTGCCACTTTCTGTCCCGATATTTGGCATTATAAAGTGGTTTGGCAATAAATTGAGGGAAATGTATAAAGGGATTCTTAAAAAAATAACGAGAAAAAGGGACATCAAAATATGCTGGCGGTAAACAAGGTGGTAAATGAAATTAGGGGCAATATATCGGGGTTTCACTGTACTTGAGAAGATATATTTTTACAAGGGAGGTTGGGAAAATAAAGAAACATTTTTATGTTAACTTCAGAAAGTTTTCATGCTCACAATAAAGAAAGGACTTAAAAGTTACTTGCTAATTTTCTGTGTTGCCTACCATGTCTTTAGGAAGCTTCCTGCCTTCATTCACTGTTTTCCTGCTGTTGATATAGGCTGGGTACAAACATATCCACCTGTTGTAAAATAACAAATCAAGTGTTCGGAATAAGTTAATCAGTTTGGTAAGTATAATAAAGGCTAAGTTAGTTTTGAATTCAAACAGGAATTGAAAACTTGTTTTGCGAGCTTTCAAAACCATCTGTTTCCTTTTTCATGCAAAGATTGCAAATGACCGGTGTCTCGACTCTAAACCACTGAAAACAACTCACTACGCCACAGTGGGCCGAATCAGTAAAGTCAGCTGTCAAAAAAATCTTTAAATATTCCAGGCAGTCAGGGGGATGGGTTTAATAACATGTCAAACAAACTTTGCCTTTAACAAATTAGGTGATTTTCATTATTTTACAGCCATGACCAGATTGTCTCTGAACTCGGTCTAGAACCTCCTATACATAAGAAATTCATAAGTCATTCAACTGCAAGATACATATATATTAGATATATAAATAGTTTTGAGTACTAAACCAATTGAATCCTGGATATTTTGTTACTGATTAGTTTTATTTTGTAAAGACAAAAATGCTGATCATGAAGAATCCTTAAAGATGAAATCTGTGACACAGTACACAAAAAAAAACAAAAAATCAATTCATTATTCCAAGTGCCAATAAATTTGATTAATATTAAAATGACCTTTGGGAAGTACAACTAATCATGAAGCTAACAAGACCGAACTACAAATCTTATTATTCAATATGGAAATACACATTATCGTTCTGGACATTTGAAGCAATTTCTTTTACGTTTTCACCAAAAAAAATGAGTAAAAATTAGAAAAGCATAGGTACAACTACAACTGTTTCTTTTATTATTTGTACCACCTCCAAAGTGGTGTGTGAACACTATAATTCTTAGCTGCGATAATATAGCTTTCTGACAACAAGATTTTTTCTTTAAATATTGCGTGGCTGGGTGTTAATATTAGTACTAAATAATTCTGTGTTCAGAATTTCAAAGATCACATTTCAGACAATATCAACGATATTTGAACAAAATGTTTTCAACAACGGACATAATTTACAATGTACACTTCATAACCAAACTGTTTGTATAGTTTTTTTTATGTTGAGGGAAAAAGATGTCAGAGCACACAACAAATTTTCCAAACTGAATTGAGGGGTCCTCCTTAAAAGCGTCTTCAACCGACTTCAAGCGTCGCCAGACAAAATCTACCGAATAAAGTAAGCGACATCAGAAGATATGTTGTTAATATGACTTTAATACACCTTTCGGAATTTCAATTTGAAATTTGATAAAATGACAGAGTTATATTGAATTGAATTTTTACGATCGCAGCGCCGTGATTCATCGATTCGCAATTGTTGTTTTCCCAACCTTTTGGAATTGCAGCATTGCACAATCTCGATTCAATCACCCTGCGCTTAATCATTGGTAAAATCTTTACTGACTTATATCTTCCTAAGCGTGTTCCATACGACTCGTCAATCGTTTGTGCAATGGTATTGAATTCTTTTATTGAATCACAATTCAATAAACCATCTTCACCAAAGATTGATGACATGATCGGGGCCTTGTCGTCATCAGTCATGCCAATTTTAACTGACAAATGTCTTGAAACGGCCACAGATTATAACAACCTAGTGGAAGCCCTGAATGCAGCCCTTGCGAGGAAATACAGGCAGCACCCCAAGGTCCACTTCTGGTCTTTGCGGGGGCTGAGGTGCCTCAAAAGGTTTGACTTCGTTGATGGGGTTCACCTGAACCTAACTATCACTAGGCGGTTTGCCAGACAGGTTCGACTAGCGTTGTTCTGTCAAAGACTGCGCTAGTCGCCTTCTTAAACGGCCCTTTTCAGGCCCACAATCTTTCTCAAAAAGTCCTGAGAAACTCAAAATTTACGCATCCCCCTCCCACTGAATTAGTTATAATAAAAAATAATTAAACACATAAATGTATTCTTAATGGGTTACAGTTAAAATCTAAATTGTTCAATAAATACAATAATGTTATTCTTGACCCAGCTGATTGAAGGGGTATCAATATTTATATACCAATATAATCTAACTGTGTTCACCTATGCGAAGCCCTACCCTACGTACACATATATGTGGCACGTCGTATAGCTTAATACCTGTACATCGTATGAATTAAATTCATGATAACTCATTTTTCAACAAATCAAATTAAAACTTGGTATATATGTAGTTGTATCATAGTCATATGAATAACATATCTCATGATGTCGCTTAATTTATCAATTATTTTAAGAGGTAAAGTCTGAAGACGCTTCTCGATCTTTACAGTTTTATAAACACACGTGTGCCAAGCCGCTGTTAGTAAAAAATAATCACGATAACTCAGTCATATTTTCATATATCTAAGTGAAATTTGATCAAGAGGTGTATTATATTCACATTAACATATCTTCTGATGTCGCTTACTTAATCGATGAATTTTAGAGATATGGTCTGAAGACGCTTCTTCATATGCTGAGTTCTATTCACACACGTATGCCACGCTGCCGATCGTAATAATTATATATTCCTCATAACTCGATCATTTTTTCAAATATCGAGCTGAAATTTGGAATATAATATATATCAATAAAAGTCTAACTAATAACATATCTTCTGTACTCGCTTACTTTAGTGAGTAATTGTAACGATATTATCTGGCAACGCCTTCTTCACTTTACATGCGAATACACACATGTGCCATCATTACTCGGTCATTTTATTGAATATCAAATTGAAATTTGGTACAGAGGTGTATTATAGTCATATTTACAACATATCTTCTGATGTCGCTTACATTATTCAGTATTTTTAAAGATTTTGTCTGGCGACGCTTGTTGTCGGTTGAAGACACAAATGAAATGTTTGAAACAACAAACGTAGATGTTAGTGTACCCCGTCAAATTTGGGTCTTCTCTCCATATTTATACAGCGTTACATCCCTGAGCTCCACATACATTGTAAAGAATGTCTTCATCTTCATCTACAAACCGTCCTCCGTCAATATTGACGATTACGTTGTTTTGTACAGTGATTTTTTTTATTTATCATGTCCAGAGACGTATAATACGTCTCTGCCATGTCAGATTGACATACATGTCTGGTGTATTTCTAAAAAGTCTGGTGCTGGGGCCAGATCAATATGCGGACTATATGGCATTTCCCATAGGGTTAAGGACGACTTGACATGTATGATCTTAAAACGATAATTCCCAAAATAGAAAGTCATATATTTAGACTTGTGCCATATGTTGATCAATATGAAATGGCAACCGTGTTCTACATTTTTGTACTGCGATAGTAGTATAAGCTTAACGTTATTCACAGTCGAGAAACTGGAATGTGGAACTCGTCTGCTACCCACCTCTCCCTGTCGGTATGTTTGAAATTCGGGTCCCACGGCCTAGCTTGTGCCGGTTGTGCCGGTTGTGCATTCGCCATGTTGGCAGTCAGTGCTCGTCTGGGTCATATGTGTGTTTAAAGGTAGCTATTTTATAAGCGTCTAATCGACGTTGATATTAGTTGAAAAGCGTCTGAGCGATATCGACTCCAATAGTAAGCGTCTTGGCGATAATGTTACAACGTTGAACTAAATGCAACATAGCTGGTACAATACAACCAACAACAAATTCAGTAAAATACTTGAATTACCGTCTCCGCTTGTCCAATTTGCAGTCTTCATTACTTCGATTTAAACTTAATGCAATATAAAGTAGTTTTGTTTAAGTTTAATTTCATTTGTTTCCTCAGATACATTACAGTTAATTATAATTGAACATAATTTCCCTTGTTACCCTTCAGTATCAAAAATAAATCCTACACAAGACGTAGATCTATATACAGTCCAGATATGTATTCTGTGTTTAATGATTTCCTTCTCTTTAATTAACTTAAGATCTCAGACACGACAGATTATTTAGAGTTGTTCATTGTTTCGTTTCTTTCAATTAATTTATAGAAAGTTAAAAGCAGACGAATGTCGAGCTTCAGATATATTACAGTTGTCGTGAATTTGGTATGTGTTATCACACACCGTCACAACATGTAGTTGGGAACTGTTCTCAGGTCCCAAAATCTATAAAAATAGGCGGAGTAAAATTACTCATGTGTGTTCAGTATGAAATCGGGATGTTAAGTGACCACGCCAATATGTAACAGCGAGGTTGTCGGTGCGGTTAGCGGTCTAAGGGAGATAACTCCACCCAAAATTCACCACACTCTTCCCCGTTTTATGAAAGCCCCCTCTTGAGATTGGAAGCTGCTGATCAGGAATCATGGATGATGTGGTCTTTCATGAAGTAGCAGATCCTCTGGCGTTGTTAAAGATGCTGGAGATGATTGTTCTCTGGTGGATTTGGACAGATCGGGTCACCCGTTAAGCATAGGGGACCCTTAGCAGGAACACAGTTTCACCGTGCCCAGTAGTGGAAGTTCGGGCCCTTACTTCATAGATCTAATTCTGTTGATGGGCTTAACTTAACTGTGCCCTCCTCCGAGGTATAGGATCATTACAAATATAAACTTAATGGTTGGGCATAGGCATACCGTGCCCTTGCCAGGTACTCAGACATGTATAGTATTTGGATATGGCTGTGATGCCCTCCACTTGTATGCTGACTGTGACAGGGAGCGATAACACAATCCCATCCCTGAGCAGATAACCGCTCAAGGGGCCAACGGTTGAGCAGAAAACCACTCTGTCTCTAAAGGCCCGGAGGCTGCCTGGGAGGCAGAGAACCGTCTCTTTCTGAACTTCCGTAATGATAGGTGACTTAAATAGAGCTTCTGATTAAAAGCTGTCTCCCAGCTGTACGATGTGATCACATTTACTTGGGTCACAAAAATACACAGGGATTTTTACTGTCCTTGCTCTTATTACTAAACCTAAGAACACAGCAGTGCCGTGTAATTTATCTACTATGAAACTATTGCCTAATCACCCACAACACCTGTCTAGTCAACTTTTGGGGTGCTATAGTCTGCCTAGCTGTGCCAGTGAGTACCCCACCCGAGTGGGTTACAGCGCTATCTGATTGCTCCGCGACAGTGGCCAGGCTTCTGTAATGAGAGCCCCCCCNGAAGATAAAACGACTTCGACATGTATTTTAAGTCTCTTTTTCCAGTTTGGTTCTGGTAGACGGGATAAGGAACGGTCATAATCACAGATTACACAATCATTGACGAAATTGTCCTCTTTGGCTAACCCAAATACCCCGTGCAACTTCTGGTCATCCATTTCTTTTTTTGTCGTTATCTGATGACGTCACATTTGGTTTGAAAAAAATGACGATGGAGGGAACACAAGTTTCCGATACCTCTTCCCCGTCAAATGGAAATGAGGCAGATTTTGGTGTTACCACCTCATCGTCTTCAACTTTGAGCTCCACTGTTTGTGATACATATATATGCTTATTTTGTTGAGGACCAGGAGTATGGCCTTGTATGTCAGTGGTACCATACTGTCCCCATTCTTCTCAAACCGTTTACAGTTAGCTCCCGCCGGGTGACTGTCCAGTGGCTCTTCCGAGACCCTCACTGGCCTCTGTCCCTCCCTGGGAACTGCTCCGCAACCCGCGGTGTATGGTATTACCAATAAACAGGACGGATATGGTAATAATACTGCCATCTGAGACCGCCAGCTTCACCTCAATCAAAGGTTGAACCTCTTTTCTAGGCATGATGGATGGATACCTTGATCTCTCTGCCGTGCCTCTAAATTGTTCCGGGGACGCAGATGGAGACCTCGAATGGTACGCCTGGGTATTCTGTCCTCTGTCGTAACCCCAACTGGCGGCACTGGTGTTGCCTATCCCCGGTTCCCAGGGCCCGGGGCCGGCTATGTTGACCTTGACATCGGCCTGGTGACCTATCTCGGCGTCGACCGTCATACCTATTTCGCCCGTTGTTCTGGGCCGGACGAGGGTCCTAGCCCTAGCACGATAATCTAGAGGTCGGTTCCCTTCATAGTTTTGAGGGGAACCTCGGTCGCGTTCCGGTGAACGGTAGTCACCCCGAGGTGGAGGCGAGTACGGACGGGCAGACACACTGTCCGCACTAAGTCGGGCCAGTGATTTCTCCAGCTCATGTAGTTCATTTTTTAAGAACTTTACAGGGTCCTCCTCTATTTTGTCATCTCCCGACTTAGTGCCCTCAGCTAATTTCACCTGCCTACTAGGGTAATGTGGCGCGCGAGAACCAAGTACCGAGTACGCTGATTGGCTACGGAGGCCTTTATGTATTTCAGAGCTTTGTGAACCGTCTTAGGTTTCATCTCCATGGCTCTCTGCGCCGCCATCTTCTCGCGACAGCCTTTGAGGAACGCCTCTGTAGCGATCTGATTCCTCGTTGTATCGGCATGCGCGAAGCAATCTCCAGTTATGGTTTGAATCCGCTGGGCAAATTCTGCTAAGCTCTCATTCTCCTCTTGTTTAGTGAAGTGAAGTTCTCTGCGGGCCACCACCGGGACGTCCTTGTCGCTGAACCGTTCTTTCATCTTCTTCCTGAGCTTAGTGAACCCAAGAGTTCGCGGAAGTTTATCGGCGTACTCCAACGCATCACCAACCGGACAGTCAAAAAACCGCTGTATAGTCTTACGGTCAGACCATCTGTTATCGTTTATAATTCTCTCGAATTTAAGTGCGAAGGGCTCCCACCGCTTCTTACCTGATTAAGTGGGCATCTTGTTTCGCTGAGGTCTTTTACTCCTTCGGCGATGCCTCTGCTCGTCATCGGAGGAGTCCTCAGAATACGTATCGCTGTCCCCCTCCTCCTCACTTGAGAAGTCGGGGTCAGATTTGTCGCTCCCTGACGAATCATCACGTCTACGCCTTGCAGGGGTAGGGCGCGTTCCCTGTGATTGGCGCGTATGTCGTTCACCGGGGGTGCGATGCGTGTGCCGTGTAGGACGTTCGTTGTCTGACCTGTTGCGAGTCCGTCTTTTACTTCCTTAATCGCGGGTAGCACGCGCTGTTGTAACCTCACCACGATTTACTGCGCTTGTTACGGGCTCTTTTGCGCGAGCACCGGGAACGGCCGAAGGCAGACCATGAGCAGGAGTAGTATGGTGGTCTAATTTAACCTGATTTCGCCCTAACTGAGTGTCTATGTACCGCAATAGGGGATAGCTATTTATCCCGCCATTGGTGTATGGCAGCTTATGGCCTGGGGCAAGTAACCCTCCCCATGTTGGAAAGGTAGCTGCGAAGGGTCATATCCCCGAGGATAATTTCCCCCTCCCTGCTTGGGAAGCGTCAAACTAGACTTGACATCTTCCAACAGGAAGTCAGCCTCCTTTTCATTGGGCGATGATAGGCATGACATGCTGTGACCTAAGGGCAGATTCCTTTCCTCCTCAACATAAATTCTAATTTAAACCCCAACGTAGAAACAATGGGTGCAATTGATGCACTGGTACCTCCAGTAGTCCATGTTGTCATATGGGACCCCTGCCTTTGACCCCTTACATACCTCCCATCCTTCGGGATAGCCTGTAGGATAGGGTCAGCACAGGACTCTTTCTGTTCAGGAACCATTACCCGAGGGTCAGTATATGGTACACCCTCAGGTAACATGGAGGTAGACTGAGATGTACCTCTATCCCCGAAGAGTGACCATGTATTTGTTTGTTGCCCTTGGCTACTGACATACTGGCCACCCTCAGGTGTAGTCAGTAGCATTGTGGCTCGATTAGAGGTCTTCTTTGGAGGCACAAGCCGCCATGCTCTCTTCTGGGTTTTTTGTAGCCTCTGTCTCCAATGTTACCACCAATTCCCTAACCTGGACCTGCAGCTCCTCAAATTGATGCTGCATCTCCATCACTGCGTCCTCGTGTCTATGGAGCCTATCTGCCTGTGATGTGGTCGACAGGGATGGTGACAGGGATGATGACTGCACCTCTACAGGAGCAGTGACCATTATGCCCGTGATGACCCCATCACATAGCCATTTCTGCCACTTTTTAATGCCTATCCTGAAATAAGACATACGTTTTTGTAGGGTGAGGTCGCACTCACCTCTTATCTCAATGATTTTCTGCGCCGTCGCAGGGCCTAACCCCCCCC